GGGGGGGGGGTGGTAAATCGACGAGGTCTAGGGGGCCTTTTGATGTGTACGCGCCCTTCATTCGCGCTCGACTCACGCTCGGTCGTCACCTGCTCCTTGGCGTGCTTGAGCCACAAGTCATAAGGCGCATCATCTGGCAGTTGGTCTTCTCCGATACCCAAATCCTTGACCACACCGCTCTTGAACGGTTCCGTCTTGGCAAATTTCCTAGCCAGTTGCAAAGCCAGCACGGCTCGATGCTGATCGACTGGGTGTTTGAGAATGTTGGTGACGATTTTAGGATGTTGGGTCGCGTCTTTCGAAGCGATGTGGACGCTTCCGCGGGAGTATGGATGTTGAATCACTGTAAAGACGGTAATGTTGGCGTGTGGACGAGGATCGGGGTGCTCCAACGGTTTGGTGTGATCCATGTAAATGTGCGCTGCGCACAGCTCCATCTGTGGCCAATCGGATGCCGCTTTGGTCATGAGGGATTGTTGAGTAGAAATACCGTCTCGAACGGTGGAGTGCAGTCCGCTCAATCCGTCTTGCTCTCGCTTGGCGTCAGAGGTAACCTTTTGGATGATTTCGATCGAATTGCTCGACAGATTCTGTGATGAGTGCGGGACAGACAATCTTAGCTCCATGCGCAACAGTCCCGCCGCGCTCGACGCGCTCACACTGACCTCTAGGTGGCCATCGCGAAGATAAGCCGTGGTGTCCATGGCAAAGTTGAAAACGCCAGTCTGCTGTGTCGCAAAGAGCTGGAACTGCTCCGCCATAAAGGCTTGGTCGTGGATGATATTGTCCAAACTGTATGGCCCCTTGATTTGAAATTGCGACTGGAAGCAAGGGTGGTCTGGCCAGCGCCAACATTGGACGAGGCTCAGCAGCCGCACGCCATCTGCGGAAAACGTTTGCGACCCTGCTCACCTTTCAAGTTTTCGCCTACGCCTGGCAGGTCCACAACGCTGTCGATGCCTAGAGAGCTCAAGAGTTTTGCATCGCCGACACCTGACAGCTCTAGCAGCTGAGGAGTGTTGAAGACGCCTCCAGCAAGAATGACTTGGCCGCGGAACAGCGGTGCATGGGGGGTGAGCATCGGACATGTCTGTAAGCGGCGACGATCGAGTGCACAACGGCTCACCCTCCTTGTGCGCCCTGATGGTGACTCTTTGCTTGGGTGCCGATTCGTCCGCCCCAGCATCGCGCGTCTCCACTTCGACAGCCTCAGCCACAACATCCTGACCATGCTTGGCCTGTCTCCAGATAATCTTGGTGGCGAGAGAGTGCTGCAAAACTTTAAGATTGGGTCTATCGAGCACTTGCTGGGTGAGGTAAGCGAATTCGCTGTCCACCCTCTTTTGCGTGTCTGGAAAGAGTGCGGATGGAGTGTAGCCCACGCCGACGTTGTTGCCGCCCATCGAATCTCCTCCATGCTCGAAGCGAGGCACGCCCAGGTTGATGAGGGTGGGTACGATGCGATCTTGCTGCGGGTAGTAGTGGTTGGAGTAGGTGGTGGGACAAGGACCATTGGTTCCGTGGAAATCCGGATTGAAGCCGGCTTGCCGTGCGCCTTGCGGGTCCTGCTTTAGCGGAGTGTGCGTCTCTGCCTTTTTGGCGTACTGCAGCACGTTTTGCCAGCTCCATCGCTCCTGCTCCCGCTCCCGCTCCTGCTCCTCGCCGCTGCCCAGCTCTTGCCACGCATCCACCTCGGCCTTGTAGCCCCTGTTCCACATCATCGCATTAAAGGCAGAACTGCCTCCCAGCAGCTTGCCGCGCGGATAGTAGATTTTGCGACCGCCCAGATGCTCCTCTGCTTCGCCAAAGTAGGCCCAATCAGCAGCACTCAAAAACGTTCCTGGTCCACCGGCCATTCCGGGCACTTCGATGCTCGGATTTCCCTTGCCGCTACCTCCCGCTTCCACCACCGCCACTTGCTTGCTCCCATCCTCGCTAAGTCTGCGTGGTCCCAAAGCAGACGCGGACAGGCAGGCAGGCAGGTAGGCAGGTAGGCAGGCAGGCAGGCAGGCAGGCAGGCAGGCGTCAGCTGGTCACATAGCTTCTGTTGTGCGCGACTCCCACTCCCACTCACCTATTAGCCAACACCAGCCCAGCGGTGCCTCCGCCAACGATGACAAAGTCAAAGGCCAGCTGTTCGATATTCTCATTGGACGACATGGTCGGGGCGGAGTGCGTGAGTTCTCGGGGGCAGCGCTCACAACGAGGGGGATTTACGCGTGTGTGTTTGTGTGTGTATGTGTGTGTGTGTGTGTGTGTGTGTGTATGCGCGCGCGGGGCTTCAAATCCACGCCCGCGTTCGCCGTCGTGCGTGCAAAAGCTTTTGGTGCAGCAGCAGCAGCTAGCAGCAGCGCGTGGAGTGAACAAGTGTCGCAGTGGGGGGGAATATATCTAGCAGCAGCAGCAGGCATCTGTTTTATGATGCCGAATGTGAGACGGTGATTTGCCAGTATTCAAATGGTCGCCATGCAGTCGACAGTCTCCAGTCGCCAGTCGCGGTCACTGAACGCATGGATGGGCGCTTGTGCGCTTGTGCGCTTGCTTGCATGAGTGCGGCAGATGCTTGCTTCTATCCCGATTCACGATTGGGTGATCAGACGTGGCGCGTGTAATTTGTAAATCGATGCGATGCGATCAAGTCAGGTCAGGTTCAGTTCGCACGTTCCTTTTTTTTTTGGCCTTTTGCTGAGCGTGCGCCGAGTGCGTGCGTGCGTGCGTGCGTGCGTGCGGCATTGCTGTTCAAACGAGTCCTGAGTCGTGAGTCGGTGAATCCGTGAGTCGTGAGTCGTGAGTGGAGGTGAGATCGAGGCTGTGAGAAAGGTAGGTGGTGCATTGCTCATGCTCATGCTCATGCTCATGCTCGGCGGCGCGGCGCCGCGTGGCGCGGCAAAGGGCGCTCGCTCTCTGATACGTGAGCGTGCACGCCCGCGGGTGCAATCAAATGGCGTTCACAATGAGTGGCCGTGCCTCGTCACTTCAGAGCTGAGGCGGCGGGGAAACCATCGCTCGAGTGCTGCATGCTGCATGAGCTAGCGTGCATGCATGCATGCGTGCACTCGACTTATATAGCGCGCGGGCAATCCATCTGCGCGTTTCTGCACGATCTCCAGCTCGAGTCAGTAGTCGACTTGATTATCGAGCGCGATCGAGCGATCGAGCGTTGATGCGTGCTGCTGCTTGCTGCTGCTTGCTGCTGCTTGCTGCTGCTTGCTGCTGCTTGCTGCTGCTTGCTGCTCCTGCTCCTGCTCCCCGCTGCTGTTGCCTCTGCTCCGCCCTGGCCCGTTTCCCGTTTTACGCCGCCTGTGAATTCACAATTGAGATTACCGCGGCGGGCGCTGGCATGGCATGGCATGGCGTGGGCTGCTGCTTGCTATATAGCCGCACCGATCTCAATTCATAGAAGTGATGATTGAAGCTATAGCTATAGCCCCATTGAGTGATTTGTGCATTCAACGATTGGGACTGCGGCGCCGGCGCCGCGCCGACGCGATCGATGAAGCGGGCCGGCCGGCCGGCCGGCCGGCCGTGCGCGCGTGCATCAGCAGAGAAAATCGCGAGTCGATCGCGAATGTCGACTCGACGCGCGCGCACGCACGGACTCTCTTCTGACTTGGCAACTTCGCAACTCGACAAAGAGAAAGATGCCCTTTTGCGCCAATTGGAAAGATACTCGTGACTGATCTGATTTCGCTAGATGCGCATCGTACAGTCGACTAGAAGCCCGTCTCTAGCGCTTCGCTTTCACTTGCGCAAATGTTCAAGCAAAGACGTGGCGGTGTTGCGTTGCGCTAGCTAGCTAGCTAGCTGCACGTATATACGTGCAGCTACGATCGAGCTAAAGGCCGAATCAAGCGACCCGAACCGAATCGGCATGCGTGCGCGTGTGCGTCGCAAATCGACTTGACTACTTGCGATGATTAACAACTCTACCCTTTTCATCACTTCGCATCACCGTTGCAATTAGCTCTGCTTTGACCTCGCTCGACTGGAGGATCGGATCGGATCGGCGATTCGGCTCAAGCATGTGCGCCAAATCGCATTACTTTGGACTGCGCCTTTCGAAACAAACGCGCGGGTGATGCTGGATACAGGAAGGAGAGATTACATGGAGCACGGGCCATTCATTCGCGGGCTCGGAGGTGAAGGAAAAGAGAAAATCGGAGTCATGGGTCCGAGCGGACGCTACCTATCCCCCTCTTTGCAAGTGGCGCAACGCAAGCCTCCACGCTCGACCCCCCCGCCCCCCAATCAATCCCGAAACTGTTGAATATGCGTCGTGATGCCGATGCCCAAGTCGCTACTCTGAGGCACCTGAGGCTGACGCTCATTGACAATCTCGAAATCGTCGTGTAGAGGTGTGGAAGAGCCCATGGGCGCATGTTGAGACCTCTGGTCGAACACGGCTCTCTGCGAAAGCGGGTCCATTCGAGCGTCGTGGGCGTCGAGGGAGCCCTTGAGCCTCAAGGGAATACCGTTACTCTCTGCTGGGGCCGAAGTGGGCGAAGGCGCCTCGGGATGCAGCGGAGCGGTGCCCACGCTGCTGTTGAAGCCGGCAAAGTTGATCGCGCTCGATAACGACTCTCGTTCGTCGTCGAGTCTGGGAGACTTGTAATCGCCACTTTGGATCTGGTAAGGCGTTGCTGCTGCGAACATGGGGCTCGTCATCGACTCGGGAGTGCGTTGCCAGCCGGTAGGAGAGGCCAGACCGACATTGGCCCCCCCTCCCCGCTTTTGGAAGCTGGTCGACTGCGCGCCGCCGGCAGAGAGCGGCAGCATGCCGGTACCATCGGCATTGTGGTACATTTCGTTGGGATCACCGTTCGGGTCAAAGGGATCCGCTCGCAGAGCATTCTGGTGACGCTGCCTCCTGACAGCTGCAGCGCTGTTTCCTGCTCCGCCGGTGCTCGGTCCACCGGTACCGGTGCCACTGGCGCCTTCTTTGTAGGAGCTGGAGGGAGCGGGCGCCTGTCTCGTAGTGCCGTGCAGACGTAGATTGATGTACACTTGAGGAGCTGCTCCCAAGACGACCGCAGTGGCGTAGGGCTGAAAGAGCGTGATCAGCACTGGATCTTGAAGCGTCAATTGCCAGATACCGTTGATGAGGTGCGCGGCAAAACTCAGCGCAAAGAAGCCGCCTGCATCTCTGTAAAAGAGCAGAAGAGGTGTGCTGGTTGCTGGAGCAGTGCCAGTGGTGCTGCTACGACGTCGACCAGCCAAGAGATCCATTCGGCTTCTCGAGTACGTGTAGAATGTGAGCGTAACGACCGCCAGGTCGAAAGCGGCGCTAGTGAAGTAGGCAGCGGAGATCCAGGATGGCGCAACTAGACCAGCGCACCAGCCTGCTCCGTACGAAGGTGCAGCTGGAAGATTTGTCGCGCCCAAGAATGGGATGATGGAGACCCATACGCCGAGAACGCAGCAGACACCAAAGCCCATAAAGATCTTGACCCAAAGAGCTCCGCGCCAGATGGCCATGGTTCGAAAGGCAAAGAGGAGGGCGGATGCGGTCTCTGCGAGTGTCAAGATTGCCCAGTCCGCTTTGAGCGTAGCAGAGCAGCTAGCCGGTCGGCCACTGACGAGCAGGGCGGCCGGGACATTGAGCAAGATGGACCATCGCACGGCCTGGTAGAACATCCAAGATAGATTCAGCTTCGGACCTGGTCTTTGGCCTTTCCAAATGGCAATCTGAAGTTTCCAAATTTCGATGTCTGCGGGTGTTTGGAGGATAAAGTTGTAGGCTTCGATCGCTAGCAAGGCGTATGCGTTGATGAGTGATACCTGGGCATGATACAGGGTCTTCTCCATCGCCTGCGTCGCCATGTTGGGCAACGAGTAGGGAGGGTTGGGATGGCGGTGGACGGGATGAGGGGGCAAGGGAGAAGGAGGGAAGGAGGAGAAGATGAGAGGCGGACGATGTGGGTCGTCAGGTGGATGGGCATTTCTCAGGCCATTGGTCGAAGTGCCGCTCAGCTTATCTAGAAGCAGCGCAGAAATCGGGCTGCACGCTCCAGGCTCGCTGGACCAAGTCCAAGTCAAAAGTCAAAAGTCACATCCTGGCTCGGCGATCATCGTGCTTTGACTGCATCGCTGCATGCTGCACGACAGCACAGACGACCATGGCATGCACATCCATACAAATGCCCTCGGAGCTGCAAACGCACATGCGAATGAATGCATATGCCAACAAGCTTGCGAAAAGGCGCTCGCTGCGCAAAGTCTAGTCTTGGGTCTGGCATTCGTGATTCGGATGATTTCGCCCGTCAATTGCGACCAACGCCTTTGCTGAGGGGAAGTCGTGGGCGGGTGGTCGAAGAGATGCTGTCCTGCGCATGCATACATACATGCGCGCGCGCGCATTCATTCACAACAACGCTTGCATTTTTAGCGCGAAAGGTATGCGCCAGAACTGGACTCGAGCAGGCTTCTTTTCTCTCTCTCTCTCTCTCTCCCTCTCCACTCGTTTTGCTTGTTGGCTATAGGTGTCATGCATGCTACTCAAGACTCACACTGGGCGCAAGGAAGAAGCCCAGCACGGCTGCTCTCAGACTACGCCACGACCTCGATCCGACAACGCGCTAGCAAGCGGATGAGCAACACATGCTTCTATACTTGCCCGTGTAAGGCCATGCCACCGCATCGTCACTCGATCGCGAAGCACTCACTGGACGAAGCAGTCGACCGCGTGTGCCCAGGATCACGAATGTCGGCCTGCCTGCCTCTCTCTGCCCGCGCGCTTCAAACCCGTGGACTTTTGCTCATCGTGCACGCGCATGGGCTTCATTCATGCACGACGTGGGCCTCGGGCTTCTCACGTCGTTGCGCTAACGCAGAAAGGCGTACAAATGGGCTCGCTAGAGAGCAAATTATTACATCATTACATGGGCTTGGAGGGAGGCAAAGTCGTGAGTGTTCTTAGCGGGATTTGAAACCATCCAGCAGCAAGCAGCAAAGCAATCTTTCGGTGTCGCGTCGCGGTGACCTTTTAATCAATCAATGACTGACCAACTCGGCGCAATAAGCGATCAGACACGCACGCACGCACGCACGCACGCACGCACGCACGCACGCACGCCTCTGTAGCCGCGCGCTTCACCTCGACGGCGATTGAAAAGGTAATAAGTGCTGCAGTTGGCCCGATCCGGGGCGCTAAAGTGAAACTTCCCGGCAAGGTTTTTCCAAGCAACCTTCCCGAACAAGCAAAGTTTGGCGTCTCGGGGCGGCGGCTGGATAAAATGTAGTCAAAGTCTTGGAGTCGCAGGCATGATCAATCTGAATCATGATTGAGATTCGTGATTCGAATCCATTTTCATATTTCTGTTTGCATGATCCCTCACGCACGCTCTGGCAAGAAAAAGCGATCGCTGACGCCATTGCTCGATCAGAAGCCCGCCGGGGTGATGATGTGCTGCTTGCGTGGACTTGGGCCGCAGCTAGGGAGGCGCAGACGCGCTCGAAGCTTAAATTGCTTTTCACTTTCAAACCACGCTCGCTCTTCCACAGTGGCTCATCCCGTGCAGCACGTACAGGATAGAGCTGTGATGCTGAATGCGAGGCCGAAAAAGGCTACACTCACGCCGGCCTATACCGGACGGATGAAACAACGTTCGCTCTCGCAGGTCGCAGACGCGAGTGCGAAAGAGGCCGCGGGGGACGCGTCTCACTCAAACTCAGCCAGCTAACCGCGCTCTCTGGACGCCCGGCTTTTGAGTCGATTCGTGATTCCCGATCCACGTTATTTGGCTGTCGCAATCATGCACGTTCAAGTAGACGATGAAGAGCCCCGAGAACCGACCTTCATCAGAGTACGATGGTCATGAATAGGCGGCATTCACATTTGTCGTGTCACAGCCAAGGCCCATTCTTGACGGTGGGCACGCACGATCCCACGCAGCAGCCGCAGCAGCAGCAGCAGCAGCAGCAGCGACTCACTCATGAGCCATGAAAGGTCCAAGTCGCATCGAATACGCCAGCTGCGATGCATCAAAGCATATTCCCACGCGCTTCTTGCGCGCGGCTTCGCCATGCGCGAGACGGTGCAGCAGCAGCAGCAGCAGCAAGATTTGACCAGTGTGAGTAGAGCCGCGGCTGATGCTGACCCATATGATGCAGCAGAAAGGCGATCGAGCCTGCCTGTGTGCGCGCGCGCGTTAGCAGGTGTCCGACGCGAACAAGAGCATCGTAGGTTCGGTCACGCGTAGAAGTGAAGCCGGCACTTTCCGCGTGGGTGGGGTCTGCAGCAGCATGCAACCGAGAGGGTCTACAGTCCTTGACTGCATGCATGCGCGATGGCGGCGCCACTCGGCGAAAGCAAGTCAGCACGCACTCATCCTGATGCATGACAACCATGCAGAACTCATCAGACTCACGATGACTGTTGCAGCTGGCTCCGCGCGCCCTCGCGCGGCTTAGCGTGGATCCGCAGAGACACCAAAAGTCGTGAGTGTAGCTAAAGAGAAGCCCGTAAGTGGCATATATGCAGCTTGAGCTCGATCGTCATCCTTGCAATTAACATATATTCACACCATCCACACATTCATTGATTCACGGCTTCAATTTGACCACCGCGCGGCAGGCAAGCGAGACCCAATTTCGTACCTACATACATGAAAGGCAACTAGCATGCATGCCGCGCTATACACGAATCATCATTCACAAAGTGGAGGCGATATCGTACGTACAACCAGAGATAGCCAACTCGGAATGATCGAGAAGCGCAAACAGATGCCTAATGCCCATCCCCCATTCATTTGATCCGATAAACTGCATCTCTGGGACAAGAGAGAGGGGACACCGCGGTCCTGCATCGTCCCGACAAACGGCACCTCGCACCGCCCGAAGCGCCGAGCTTTGTTGGCATGATTGGCGCTGGCAGGTGCGACGATCCGCATGAAAGCGGCTGCACTGGTCATTCAAATTGCACTTCCGGGTCACGGGTGTGGGCGCTCAGCGGAGCTAGTCTGCGCATAGCAGAGAAGACGTAGTTGTTGTGAGTTGAGCGGAGAGCGGAGAGCATCTTCGCCGGTCACGATTGCGATTGAAAGTTCCGTCGTGAGGGGTCAGGCTTTCCCTCGTCACGGGGGACCATGAACAAGGTTGCTTTCTGCACACAACTGTTGTGATTGCGATCAACAATCCCCCGTATGTGTACCTCCCTCTGCGGATGGATGCATACCCACGCATGGTTCAGTGCCGACGTAGCGAGAAGAAGGAATCGACTGAACGACGACGACTGCGCGCAGCATGCAGCGATGGTTATCGGATCACGTTTGCGCGGCATCCCATCGCCTGCAGCACCACCGCACCGCACCGCACCGCACCGCACCGCACCGCACCGCACCTAGCAGCTGCGATTCAAGTCGGTCAGCGAGCGAGCGCTTGCCTAGCTAACGCTTCGATCCGCTTATCCACCAGCTTGGACCACATGCAGAAACGACTCTTTACTTCTCTTCTAGTAGTAGTGTTGACTGTGAGAAGGGTCGGAGTTTGCATCGCATGGCGAGCTAATGGGGTGCTGCGCTCTAGCTTCCAGCCGTGCTCACTCACACAACACGAATGGCAGCTATAGGCTGCATGGCGGGCCAGTCTCACAGCCCTAGCTGCAGCGCGCGCATATACAGATGCTGCAGATGCAGCTTAATTATTTTCCACATGTTTCTGCGGACGAGCCATGCATGGCGAGATGCACATGCACATGCACATGCACACGCTTCCGCGGATGAAAGGCCATATAGCGAGGAAGGGGACATTCACGATTTGACGATTTGAATTGTGATTGTTGTGTGTGTGTGTGTGCGCGCAATTCGTGCTTCTCATCTGGTTTGTTAGCTTGCTTGTTCGGAGGGGCCCCTACACATGCACATGCACATGCACATGCTCTACACTTTGTCGTTCGGCACTCGTGGCTATCGGTGTGCAGATCTTGATTGCCCTCACACAACACATGCAGTCCTGCACTGCACTGCACTGCACTGCACCATCACCTCGCGACCACCCTCGCTTCGAACGCCGACGGTCCGAAAAACCGATGCGATGGACAGCCACTTCGGATACGGGCGGGCGTGCAGGAAAGGGCATGCTGAACCAGAAGCTGCTTTACCGATTGATGTCGATCGGGGGGGGGGGGGGGGAGGGGAACGTTTGCTGCTGCAGATATGGGATTGGGAGAGAGCTTCACTTCGCGCTTTGAAAGTCTAGCGTAAATGGTGCATAGCCAGCGCATCATCCCTCCTATACACACTAGCCTTTCCATCCCACTCCTAATCTCTTCTGACTTGCTATTTGTCGCACTCTACAACAGCAAGAGCGAGCCTTCGACGGAGCCATTAATTGCTTGAGTCGTCTATCTTGCACGCGTGCCGCTATCGCAAGAGCCCTTCGAATCGGCTCGTGTTGATAGTACCGCGGTTGCGGTTCGATACGCCAGCATCTAATCACTTGCGCGTTGCCGATCAAGGCTGACTAGATTGGTTGTGCACGGACCGCGTGGTGCGAGTAGAGCAGATGTTGTGTGTGTGTGTGTGTGTGTGTGTGTGTGTGTGTGTGTGTGTGTGTGTGTGTGCGCGCGCAGCAAAGAAAGCACTGCGGTCACCACCCATCTCGCAAAAGGTACATAAGACCACTCTCAAAACGCATGGTGGTCCACATCCAGGCAGCCTTGCGAAGCATGAATGTAACGCGCTCCTCCAACGTCCGGAAATAGTGTGCAGGTGCGTAGGTCCGACAGCAAATCCCAAGATGCCTGGCGTACTCGACACCCATGGCGCGGTCGCGCCGTCGCGGAACGGAAATGGCTACGCGAACGGAGCGCACGCTGGCGCATCCGATGGCCACGCATCGAACCACGCAGACGCACAACATTCCCTCCAAAATGGTCACCTGCTGCATGCGTGGTGGGAAGAGCCGATCGCCGTGATCGGTATGGCTTGCATGCTTCCCGGGGAGGTGGGACGAGGCAATGTGGATGTTGAAGGTCTTTGGAACATGCTGCTCGAGCAAAAGTCTGGCGTGAAAGCGTACCCTGGACGCTTCAATCGCGATTTGCACGTCGGTACCAGCGTCGGCAAGGCACTTTCAGACAAGGGCGGCTTCTTGACAGACACTGACCTTTTCGATCCGTTGGAGTTCGGCATCGGACCCTCCGAGGCTTCCCGCATGTCTGGAACTGCTCGCATGATGCTAGAGATGGCCTTCTCGGCGCTACACGACAGCGGCATCGACTACCGAGGAAGTCGAACGGCGTGCTTTGGTATCGCAAGCGGTAGCCCTCTTGCTATGCAAGGAGAAGAGCACGAAATCAATGAGCATACGGCGCAAGGACAAGCCTACAGTCTCTTGTCGAATCGCGTCAGTTTCCTGCTTGACCTCAGAGGACCCACAATGACCGTGGACTCTGCATGCAGCACCGGTCTCACTGCGTTGCACTTGGCTTCGGAGTCTATTCGTCGCGGAGAGGTCGACACAGCCGTCGTAGTCGGCGCAAATCTGACCATGGAGTGAGTCAAAAGCCCGCGCAAAAGCCCATGCTTCCGCGGGCGCTCAGGGGCTCACCGTTGGGGGGTTCATTCATTGCCAGCTGGACTTCGACGGTCGCCTTTTCCCAAAGCGGAGTGCTTTCTCCAGATGGCATTTGCAGAAGCCTAGATGATAAAGCTAGCGGGTAAGTGGGGGTTTGCTAAGCGTTTCCTTCGCTTCGCGACTCGCAGCTCACCCACAACGCCACGGCGCTGCGCATAGCTACGTACGATCAGAAGCATGCGGTGCAATTGTGCTTAGACGTGCCGACGTCGCTCGCAAGGCTGGCGATCGCATCCACGCAAACATCCTTGCTACCGCTATTGGCTCAAACGGACGTAATCAGTCGCAAGCTGCACCTTCTGGACCAGCTCAGATGCGCATCATTGATGAGACTTATGCAAAGATCGGTCGCAAGCCTTCGGAGGTCGACTATGTCGAGCTGCACGCGACCGGCACAAAAGTTGGTGACCCCATCGAAGCCAATGCTGCAGGAAAGACGTACTCGCAAGGCCGGCAGGGTCGGGAGCTGGTTGTCGGTACGCTCAAGGCCAACACCGGCCACACGGAGTGGGTCAGCGGTATCATGAGCTTGATCAAGGTGTGCCACATGCTTCGCACGGGAATTGTTCCGCCTCAACCGAACCTCCAGACGCCGTCCCGCGCCATCGACTGGGCGAGCTGGAATATGCGCGCGCCCACCTCCGCTGAGCCTCTCGGCAAGGGCGGCAAAGAGAAATCCATCATCTCCATCCAGTCGTATGGATTTGGTGGCGCTACTGGCCATGCGATCATCGAGGCCGTCGCTGGTCAGCAAGCTGCGGCGAGCACCTCGAATCAAGCCAGCTTCTCACTTTGCTTTGCCGGAGGTCTGACTCCCAGATCTGCCAGTGCTGTCTCGAGCGAAGCGGCCACGCAGCTTCAGTCACACTCGCTGGATGTGGCTGCCCTTGCCAGACAGACTCGTTCGATGCCTTGCAGAAGCTTCGCGCTCGTCGAGTCAGAGACCGGTCGTCTCGTGACAGCCTTCAGCAAGCCTCGCAATTTGGCACCGACAACCTTTGCGACCGAGCCAAAGCTTCTTTTCATCCTCTCTGGTCAAGGACCTCAGCATTTCCACATGGGCCGAAGCTTGTACCGCGACTTTGCAGCCTTCCGCGAGAGCATTCAAGCAAGTGACCGAGTTTACGCTCGCGTCACCGGCAAGTCCCTCTTGCAAGAGACGCAGCTATTCCAGTGGAGTCCCTCGGCCAAGTCGGAGACGCTCGAAGGCTCAGCGCTTTGGCCGGCGAGCGTCGTGTTTCCATCCATCTGCATGGTACAAATTGCTCTTTTCGACCTCTTGAAATCCTTCGGAGTCGTGCCAAATGCCATCGTAGGCCATAGCGCCGGCGAAACGGCTGCTTTGTACGTCTCGGGCGCCGCACCTCGCGATGTTGCCATGGAGGTGGCCATCGCCAGAGGTCAAATCTTTGGGCAATACAAGGGCAAGATGGCCGCTGTTCACGCCACACGGAAGCAGCTGGACGAGCTCTTGCTGCAAGCTGCACAGCGCGGAGCACACGTCGACGTGGCCGCGTACAACGCCGACGGCGCCTTTTCGATCTCGGGCTCCGCAGAGCGTGTGGATGCAGTGGTCAAATCTGCCCAAGATTCTGGCATATTTGCCCGCGCACTTCGCACCGAGTCTCCGATGCATTCGGCAGCGATCTCAGCGGCAAAAGACGTTTTCATTCAAACCATCGACGATATTTGGGCTCGTTATGATGCTCAGATCACCTCCCCCCAGCTCCCACTCTTCTCGACTGTGACTGGCAAGCGAGTCGACAGGCGCCAGGATGCCCAATATCTGTGGAGCAACAGTCGCGAAGCCGTTCAATTTGTAGCAGCGATTCGATCAGCTCAAGCCTTTCTCGGCGGTGAGAGCGAGGCGGCGGACTCGTACACTACCATCGAACTCAGCCCGCATCCAGTCTTGTCTGCCTATCTCGGCGAACTAGGTGTTGAGCACATCGTTCCCGTGATGGAAAGACGCAACAAGGCTCCTGCGACCTGCCCAGCGGACACGGAAGCTTTTGTCAAAGCGGTTGGAACTCTTTTCGTGAGCGGCCACAAAACAGTGCAGTACCACAGCCTCTTGTACGCCGATCCTGCCGAGAGGAAGGATCAAAAGTCGGTCATTGCCTTTCCGTGGAAGAAGACACACTGGCCAGGAGACGTTCGGCCTGGGTGGAGCAGCCTCGCCGATCATCCGCCGCTTTACGCCCCTGATGCTGCAGAATTCAAGATCAGCTGTGCGACGCATCCCGAGCTGGCCGAGCACAAGGTCAATGGCGCTCGAATCATACCTGGTGCAGCTTTCCTCGAGACTGGCCTCGAGCTAGACTCCAGCATCAATGTGATCAGCGGCGGCGAATTGCTCGGCGCTATGCCAATCGTGGAAGCTCGAGAGCGACCCATCGAAGTCAAAGTGCAACGCGATGGAGCGACGTATCTGATCACAAGCCGAAGCGGAGGAAGCCTGAATGGCCCATCCAAGCCCCACTTCAAGGGAAACGCTTACGCCGTCGACCCTCAAACGCTCAGCAGGCCACCAAGAAAGAACTTGGCGCAGATCCTGAGCAGGTTCGAAAAGCACATCGATCAAGAGACATTCTACACGCTCGTGGCCGGCACTGCAGAATTCAACGGAGCTTTTCGCCGAATCAACAAGTGGAGCGGCAAGGACGGGGAATCTCTGGCGTATCTCGATGGGCTGCGTCCAAGTGAGCGTCAAGCCTATCGCGTGCATCCCTGCGTGATCGACGCAGCTCTCCACTCCTGCGCCGCCGACTTTGCCAAGTTCTTGTCCCACAACGGTGCAGAAACGGTCGAGACGATTCTGCCTCGTGCTTTTGACCGCGTGACTGTTTACGATGCAAATTTGGCAAGGCCAACCTTGATCAGCCATGTCAGACGCACAAAGTACGCACCGCACCATTTGACGTACGATATGGACATTTGCGATGAGGAGGGCGAGGTGCTCATCACTTTCGAGAGCGTTCACTGCCGCAAATACACGACTCAGCCTGTTGAACCAATCACGAAGCGCTACGACATGGAGTGGCAGCCTGCAGATCTTTTGCCGTTGGACTTGGCTCCTCCGGCAAGCGTGGCTCCACCGCCCTCTCGCGAAGAGCTGTTCGAGGCGTTGGATCAACTTTGCATCGAATCCCTAGCTCGACACATGCCCTCTCAGCCACCTTCTGCGGATGCGAGCATCGACCGAAAACGCTACTATGCGATGGCTCAACGAGCCCTTGCACGTCCCGAACGTAGCACTCACTTTCAGCCATCACCGGGCACGTCGGAAGAGTGGACAGTGTACACCGAGATGATCCGTCGTCTGGATAGCGTGCTCGCGGATGTCTTCGCTTCGAATACCGTGAGTCTGGACAAGCGGGTTTCTCATTTGCGAGCCGCTCTCAATCTGCCACTTCCCCTGCAGGCTTCGCTGCCGGTCCTCTTTGCTCATAATGATGACCTAATGAGCCGAGCATACAAGGCCATGGCTCTGCACGACCGCACATATGAGCTTTTTGCCAGCGTGTTCGGGGATTTCCTAAAGCAGTGTGCGGCTCAAGGCAAGCATGTCGTTCGAGTCCTCGAAGGTGCGCAATATGCTCGCGTCGCTCATCGGATGGAAAAGTGCAGAGCTGATGCATGGATTCTTTGCTCGAACAGTCGGAGCCGGCACGGGACAGCTCACGCGCTACCTGAACAGTGTCGTTCAGCAACTTGCCACATATGGCACATCCGAGAAGCCGGCAGTCGAGTTTGTCATCACGGACGTGAACGTGCAGCTTGCTGCCGAGGCGGCATCGACGCTGACGCAAGACAGCGGTGTCACGCCTGCAGCCTTCAATCTGTTCACGGGACAGAGCGGGCTGACCAAAGCATCGGACAGACACTCCTTTGATTTTATTTGCATGTCGAACGTGCTCCACATCGCGGCAAACCTTCCCACGGCCATGGTCAATCTGCAAAAGTACATGGCCCCCGGCGCAATGGTGGGAGTGGTCGAGATGGACGGTCGCGTGAATGAGACTCAAGCTCCCGGAGCTCTTTTCATCGACTACATCTTTGGAAGCTTCAAAGATTGGTTCGGAATGGAAGATCACCGCGAACACCCGACTCAATCTGCCGGCGCCTGGCACAGCTTCTTCTCCCAGCACATGGATCGAGTCGCGCTAGTCGAGCCTGCGCACGAACCGACCCTGTCTCGCAACCTGGCCTTGTTCTATCAGGATTCTGGCGAGGTGCGCAAGCTGATGACCAAGGAAATTCAGCAGCTCACCCCACCGACAGAGATGCTGCGACACGTCTTCTACTACGACGAGTCCGAGGTTGCGAAGCTGCAAAAAGATGTCGAAGCTTGGGACCTCGCCAATCAACGCGTCCACGTCACCATCGCGGCCGCAGACGAAGGCGTTGGACAATCGATCCTGGGCCTGACGCGCTCTTTGCGATCCGAGTATCTGACTTGGCGGTGAGTCCGAGACTAGACCGCGCAGAAAGCTGCGCGCACATCCACCTGACGTTCGCCTAACCCTACTCTCTAGCTTCACGACAGTCCTGTTCGATCCTGCTCTGACGGCCGAGCAGCGTACCGTCATACTCGAGTCGCCAGATGTCTGGGCAGGCTCAGAGCTGGAGCTTCGTTTCGACGCTAATGGCAGGCCTCAAGTCCATCGAATGGTCACCATCGACCTGGACCCCGTCGCTGAGCACACGCCAACGACTTGGCAGCTCGATCCACGTGCGCCCTCCGAGCTGCTGCCTGTCACGCTGGCATCTCTCTCCACATCAGAGGCCACAGTCAATGTCATCGCGACTGCGCCCTTGACAGACATCGGATGTGTCTATGCTTTTGCAGGCGTCGTCACCTCGGAGGGCAAGACGTTCGACAAAGGCACGCACGTCGCGGGTATTTGGGCAGGCAACCTTTCAAACGTGATCAACGTTCGGATCGCCTCTGTGGCGGTGTTGCCGAGCACGATTCCCCTCGAGCGTGCTCCTGCGGTGGTCGTTGCTGCCTTCTCGGTGGGTCTGGCTTTGCAGTACGCCATGGTGGAAGATGGGCAAGCTGCGTCGGTCTCAGACGATGCGGCTGTCTCTGCCATCGCGAATGGCTTGCTCTTGGCCAAAGGCTGGGCAGTCCCTGAAGGCCAGCACGACAAGCTCGATCTGCTCATTCGGCTCACGTCAACCGACCACCGTTCCAACCCGCTTCACCTCGAAGACGGAGTTGGCGTCGAGCTGGACTGTAACATTGCCGACGCAAGCGTTGCTCAGCAAGGCCAACATCGCATCGGTCGTTTCGTGTCGGTCAATGTGCCTCTCCTGGTGAGCCGCTCACCAGTGCGCATCGGTCGTGTGCTATCCGAGTGGCTGCCTCTTGCGCTTTCGACTGCGGTAGGGGAGACGCTCTCGCTAGACTCGATCTCGACGCGACTCATTGCGGACGTCGAGAAGAATGCGCAGACAATGCGGCATTTCGCCTTTGACCCGTTGGCCACCTATGTGCTGCTTGGTGGCTGTGGTGGTCTCGGGGCCGGCTTTGCGTCCGAGATGTACAATCTCGGGGCACGTCACATCGTTCTGACTAGCCGCACCGGCCCCGCCCGCTTTGAGCGCGGGGACATGGAGCGTGAAGCTGCTCTCATCCGCTACCTGCAAAGCGTCCCCGATCTCCATCTTGAGCTCGTTGCGTGCGACGCAATGGATGAAGGCGCAACGCGCGCGCTGTTCGGACGCCTCACCAATGTCAGAGGCATCATCTGGATGCCGCTCTCCTGGCAAGGCGGCCATTTTACCAAGGTACCCGACGCGCTCTATCGCAATATGCGAGAGTCCAAGTATCTCGGCCTAGAAGTTCTGACCCGCATCGTCGATCCGAAGCAGCTCGATTGGCTGGTTGCCTGCTCGAGCGTCGCGTCTTGGAACGGCGCTGCTGCTCAGTCTGCTTACGCGGCCGCATGCACAGCCATGGAAGGTATCGTCTGCCGCATTCCCAACGCAGTTTCCATTGCCATTCCCATCGTCCTCGGAGCTGGCCAATTTGCTCGTTGGACGCAGAGCGTCATCGATGCGCAAGGAGGGAAGATTCCCGGTTGGCTGATCCAAGCGGCAGCCAAGACCGGCATCAGCTTCACGATGCAGAGCGTGCTGCATCAGATCATCGACTCGATCAACGTGCGCAAGCAGCGCAAAGTGAATCTCTACATTCCCCACGTCGACACGAGGCTGGTCACGGATATGCTGGGTCCCAACAACGCCTTTGCTCGTCACTTGGACCTTCGCACTGCAAGCGAAAAGGCTACCTTGCCCGGTGCCAATGGCGCTCTGGATCAGTCGAGCAATCCGGTTGACAGGGTGATCTCGCAAGCGCTCTGCATCCCTTCGAGCGACATCGACGACGACACACCACTGAGCAGCTACGGTCTCGATTCTCTCTCTGCAGTCCGGCTCTCCTCTATGCTTCGCACCGTCGGCGTCACCATGACTCAGATGCAGCTGCTCGGCAACGCTACGCCAAACAAGATCAAGGCGTTGGCTGTCACTAGTAGCCCGGCGCCACAGTAGCGCAGGTGGGTGTCGCGGGGGGGGACATTGCGCGTCGTTTTCTTTTTTTGTTTTTTTTTTTTTTTTGGCCCTTTGCAGCCTCTTGGCCGCGTCTCGCTAGAAATGCGGTGATCTTCTTTTGGGACTTTTTCAAACCTTTTGCTCGCTTGATCGCACGCTCTACAAGCGCTTAGGAAAGCGGCTCGCTACATGACGATTCTGAATCCCTTTCGGTGGCAATGACCAGTGCTTTGCTACCCAGTTCATACCATTCGCCCGGGTTGCCCGCATGGCTCCCCTCGCTTTCATGTACACCACTTGTGTCCGACATTGTTCTACTCTCGATATATACGTAGTTGCGTTGCTTGCTACAGCGGCGCATTCGCAATAGAATATCCTTTACGTCGTGAGAAAATGTCAAGGACCTTTTGCGAAGCTCTGCATTTGATCATTCGACGTGCCGAGCGGTGTGAGGTTCTCCATCTGACTGTGAGACTTTTGTGCTGGACTCGCTCGCTCGAGCGGCGAGAGCAAAGCACCGACCGATCGCCTGTAATCGTACATGCTGGCTGTGGCCGCTTCAGTCACGATTGTGATTGCTTGTGCTGGCCAATGCCCACCGGCTGATACTGTACTCACACTCGTGACTTGCTGCTATCCACAAATCACAAAGATTCGACATCCATATATCACTTGCGCCGCCTATGCCTCAGAACGTTTCGCGCGCGCGCGGTTCGAATCTGACTGCTAGCCCTCAGAGGTTAATTGCATGCATGCATGCATTGCATTGCATAGAGTAGTGAATCACGAATGCGGACACGTTTCAGCGCCCTCCGAGTTGCAAGGCTCATCTCATCGTTTGTTGCTTCCCGCAATCAAGCATCCGCGCGCGCGGGCGGGTGCGCGATCGAGCAAACGTGCTCTCCTAGCTGGTGTCAGCGAGCGCGCATGATAGCGACCCGGCCGCGGGCGCGGACGATCCGAACAGAGGGCGCTGTTGCTGATGCAGGAGTTTTGAGAGTCAGCAAGGGTGTTGAGCATCAGGCGATCGCCGACCGATCTGCATGCATGCATTCATTGATTGATGAAGGCCGTGCGGTGTGTTGCACCTCAGACGCACGATTGCTGACGCATCTACACAACAGGCACGCACGCGCACGGCCAACTCATCGTTCGCTCGTCAACTCTTTCCAGCAAAGCAGGTCAGCAGTCACGAGTCACGAGTGGAGAAAGTCACGAGTGTGCTGGCGGAACTCGAACGCCGTAGCCAAAGCCTAATCTGTCGCTCGATCGCCCTTTTCCTCCACACACAACACACGCACGCCCCGACTCGACGACGAGATGCGCTAATGCGACGAGCGGGCCAACACGCGCAAAGTTTGCAGATGACTGTTGTCACGCATCGACGATCGAGCGATGAGGCGCATTTTCCTCTTCCGCTCTCGTGCGGCAATTCGCTATGCTCTGCACTCACACTCTGACTGACAACAGAAGGCTTTGAGCGCACACGCCTCTCGGGGAGAAGGATTCTTTCTAGTCGATCGCTTGCTTGCTTGCATGCTGATGGACGCGCCCCGCCCCGCCCCGCGGCGAATGCATCGGCAGGTATAATTGATTGGCGCGCTAGTCTTACGCCCATCCCTGCTTTGATTGAGGGCGCGCAGCTAAGAGCGACACTGGGCGCGGGCTGGGGGAGAGCAGGGATGCACACGGACAAAGCAAAGGAAGCTGCCGTACACGACTTCAAAGCTGTTCCTCTGTGGCCTCATCGCTGTAGCCTGGCCACAACGCACCGCACCGCACCGCACCGCACCAATTCGAGGATGACGAATTCCGGCGAGCAGTTGCCATTCGTGCATGGTTGCTGCACTCACAGACTCTGACTCGCAACTCAACGCAACTGCTATTATTGATTGCGGCGCCAAAAAGGCGTGCAGCAGCAGCTTCGAGTGCGCAGCGCAGTGCATTGCAGCAGCACGGAACAATATTTTGGACGGCGCATTTTGTTGGCCTGGAATGATTCGCATGCGTCTTGCTCGCATATGGGGGGCACTCGGACTCACACTCGACCATGCACCAAGGCTGAATCTGCCTGCCTGCCTGCCTGTCTGTCTGTCTGTCATGCCTCTGTGCTCGCATCGACGAATCAAGTCTGCGGCGCTGGGCCGCATCGGCAAAAGCACCACTCTGACTCACGACTCACGAACTCACGACTCACGACTCGCGACTCGCGACTCACGACTTGCACGACTCGACTAGAGCTGCCTGCCTGCCTCGCCCATCACACAGGCTTTGCAAAAGCGTTCTGCGTGGCAGTCGGTATAGGCGCGAGAGATGAAGCGCGGGCAATCACGATCAGAGCAACAAAGCCAACAAAGCCGAGCCAATCGGGCTCACAGCGCAGCGCAACGCAGCCAGCCAGGCACAATCAGCTCCGACGTTGGCAGCTCCTCTCCTGATAGGGGGAACGTTGCGAACCTTGGTCTGTCTGTTCTGTACCTGTACCTGTACCTGTACCTGTACGTTGCGCCCAAGCGAAAGCTCCACAGAGCCACAACTTCCCATTCCTCTACCTCTGCTTACCCCCCTCCCTCCCCCCCTTTTTGCTGCAGCATCCTTGCGCTGCGCCTACTTTGCAGTAACCGTCTTGGCTGCGCACCAAAAGCCCCCCTCTCCCCTTGACCTGACGAGCGGCGGTATAGTAATTACGCATTCGAGCCCTTCAAAGGCGGGAGGCAGCACTTCTACAACTTGCAGAGCTGCAGCAATTGCACGCATCCTCGCCCCAGCGCTTCTCGCTTCTCCCCCTCGCGACTTTGCGACACGCTTCGAGTACCAACCGCACCCACACCTCGCCCACACCTCGCCCACACTCATCATTCTTTCCCACCACCACTCATCAGCAGCACCCAACTCGCGCAGACTCGCACATCTCGAGCAGTCATGACGGCTCGCAATGAATCTCGCAAATCATTGTGGCGAGCATCGTCCAAGGGCCTCGTTGCCACTGTGCTCTTCGTCGTGGCGCTCGGCGTCAGCGTAGTGGCAGCATCGGCATCTCCAGTCTCTAACATCGACGAGCGCAGCGCGGAAACAGCTGATGGTGCGCATGCGCATGCCGATGCCGACGCTGAATTCGACTTCATCGTCGTTGGAGGCGGTGGAGCTGGAGCGGTGATCGGTGCGAGGTTGTCAGAGAACCCTCATTGGAAGGTCGCCATCGTCGAAGCTGGTCCGAGCGGTGTGGGCAATCCCAACATCACCATTCCCGGATCTCTCGGTGCTCCTTTCCTTGGCCCTCTTGATTGGGCGTACAACACTGCCCCTCAAAAGGGCCTGAACGGCAAGAGCGTCTATCATCCACGTGGAAAGATTCTCGGAGGGTGAGTTGGTTCGGTCCTGTCTAGTCGACTTGCAGCGATGGACGGCAAAGTGTGTGTGTGCGATGTGGCGGTTGTTTGACGCTCCATCGAGCCTCCATCCCTCCAGATCCACGGCCATCAATGCGCTGCAGTATACGCGGCCCTTTGCTGGAGAAATCGACGCCTGGGGTCATTTGGGCAATGCAGGATGGAACTGGCCAACGATGGAAAGGTATTTGAAAAAGGCCCAAAACTCTACTCCACCCGCGCAATCCTACCGAGACGGCTGGGGCGCCACCTTTGATCGCAAGTCCCAAGGATTCAAGGGTCCCATCAACGTCGGCTTCACCAACTTTCACCTCCCGCAAATCAAGACTTGGATCCCCAGCTGGTCCGCTCTCGGCATCTCTCAAGCTGCGCGATCCGGTATGGCAGGCGACAATGTCGGCTCGAGCTTGTGGCCTTCCACCTTGGTGCCCGAGACGCAGTTGCGCGACGACACGGAGTTCGCTTACTTGACACCCAACAAGGACAGGAAGAACCTCGTCGTCATTGCCAACACCACCGTGACTGCCATCAAGTGGAAGAAGCACAAGTCTCACCATGCTGGTCACCTTGACAAGCTCGTTGCCGACGGTGTGGCCGTCGTCGACTCTACCGCTCCGAGCGCCACTGGTGCCAAGATCAAGCATTTGCGCGCGCGCAAAGAAGGTGAGCACTGTTGACAGAGTGGTGCTTTGCTGGCCCCCCCCACTCCACTAATGCGCATTCTCTCCTTCACATTCACCGCACCTCAGTCATCATCTCTGGCGGCGCCTTCAACAGCCCAGCAATCCTCGAGCACTCTGGTATCGGCAACCCTGCTGTCCTCGAACCTCTTGGTATCGAGGTCAAGTACGCAAATCCAGGAGTAGGAGAGAACTTGCAGGATCACCCATCCTCCTCGGTCATCCTCAAGTTGAAAGACGACTACACCTCCCTTGATGGTCTGCTCTTCAATGCCACTCTTGCAGCGGAGCAACAACAACTCTTCATTCAGAACCAGACGGGCTTGCTCGACTTTGCTGGAGATGCCATCACCTACGTGCCTGGCGAGTACGTCTTGCAGACGCTGCTCAACAAACGCAAAGGCGCGGAGGATGTGTTTGGTCAGCACACTCACGAGGCTCACAAGAAGCTCACCAGCGCAAAGACCAGCAGTCACGATCACGAAGTCGAAAAGTACGCGCCTGTTGCCCCAAGACGTGGCGCGCTGGCTACAAATGCCTACGCTCTGCGCCACTACGCCAAATGGCCACAGATCGAGGTGCGATTGGATCTCTTGAGAGCTTTTCCTAGCTCTCGAAGAGGTATTTTTTGCTGATTCTGCCCCCGCCCCCTACTTTGGTTGCGCAGTTTTACCTCTTGAACGCTTGGCAAGCAGCCATTCCACCCGGCAAAGCGCCAGCTCCAGGGGCCTACTTTTCCGTCGTAACCTGCCCTCAGCGTCCGCTCGCCAGGGGAAGCGTGCACATCAACAGCACCGATGCTCTTGTCAAACCCATCGTCGACCCGCGCTACCTCTCTCACGACCTGGACGCCTACACGCAAGGCTACGCGCTCGCGTTTGTGCGCAAGCTGGCCCAATCTGAGCCTTTGAAGGGCATCGTGGAGAGCGAAGCTTGGCCCGGTACCGAAGCTGTGCCAGAGAATGCTTCGCTTGAGCAGTGGACCGACTTTGCCAGAAACTTTACCGGCACAGAGTGTGAGTTCCGCAACGTTTGCAATGAGCGCGACTGGACCCCACTCGCCCGCTGACGCTTATACCGATGCCTCGATCGCCTGCAGACCACCCCTCTGGATCTCTGCCCATGCTTCCCCTGCACCTCGGCGGTGTGGTCTCGCATGACTTGCGCGTGTACGGAACGCTCAACGTCAGAGTCGTGGATGCGAGCATCTTCCCCATTCTCCCGTCTGCTCACTTGCAGAGCGTAGTCGCGGCCGTCGCCGAGCAAGCCGCAGACATTGTCAAGCAGCACCACGGCTACCGTCAGCATTGATGCTGACTTGCCAGCTTCACGCATGGACACTCTGACATCGCTAGAACTTCTTCAGGCGCCAGCCAGATCAACGCCAGCACAGACCACTGCACGCGCGCCCTGTCATCGAATCTTTGGCACAGCCGTTCAACGCGGCGCCGCACCTTGGGCGACTCTGTACGCCAGTCTGTGCTTCGTCGACTGTCGCCCTTCCTTGCAATCTTTCGACTTCGGTTACGCCGAGACCGTCGCTTTTCACCACGTCTATCGTATATACCAGCATCATCCCTCTTTAGCGTTGGATTTCATGCAATTGCACCATCACTGCTCGCGCGTGCAAGCAGAGCCGTGGACATGATCCGCACGTACAAGCGCGGCGACCTTGACGATGATCATGACGTTCAGTGACACAAGACAGCCAGGAAGAGTTGTGCATCGAGGAAGCGCTGCATGCCTTCACTTTCTTGCGTAAGACTTTTGCATGTAGTTTTCCTTTGCCATGTCGACCGCTTGCCGCGTATGCTCCTCCAGGTCTTCCTTCGGCAGCCCGAGCAGCTGGTTGTCCACTGCTGTGACATCCTTCAGGTTGCCCGGTTGATCTTCCGGATAGAACATTCTAGAGTAGAGCGCCTGGGCAAAGCCCATCCTATTGCCAGCGCGCAGCTCCTCGGTGCCCTGCTGCCACGCCTCTCTTGCAGATGTGGAGAGGTCGATGGTCCAGTCGGCGTCGGTGGTGTGCGTGACTTGCTGCACAGAGTCGAGCATCTCGCGTTGAGTCAGGGTGAAGCTGGAGATGTGGACGAAGCGGTTGAGCCAGTGGCTCATGGTGATGCTTGCATCAGCCTCGTCGCGTGGATACATGGGCAGACTGAGCAGGGATGCGACTGCACGTGCAGTGCGCTGCCAGGTAGAGGTGCTCAGGGCCACCTCACCACCTTGGTACAGCACCGCCTTGCGATTGTTGATATCGATGCCAAACAGCGCTTCGCCGCCGCTGAGACTGTAGCTGTACCAAAAGCCGGGCGCAAAGGCGATCCAAGGCAAGTCGCGGTGTTGGATGTGTGCGCGCTCCTTGGACTTGGACAGGCCTATCATGGTGTCTTGCGCCACTGCGGGGGGTGGGTCGTAGCCCCACTCGTTTGGTATGAACCACTTGACGCCGGCTTCCTTGGCAGCGTCCACCAGCTTGTTCTGCTGCTCGGGTGGCGCGTGCACGGAAAGGGTGCAGAGCAGCACATCTTTGCCTCGAAGCGCTCGCACCAGCTCGGCATGATCGTCGTAATTTACAGGCAGCACCCGCACCCGCGCCCTCGCATCTGCTTCGACTTTGAGCTGATTGGCGCTTCCGCTTTGCTTTCGGGTGAGCGCAGTCACCTGAAGGCGAGACAGGGCAGGACTTGCGAGCAGCTGTTTGAGAATGTGACTGCCTTGCTGACCCGTCGCGCCAACCAGAGCTACGCTCTCAACGCGGTTGGGCGTGCCGGCAGGCAGATCTTTGGCGTAGATGACTGCAGCTGGCATGGCGAACGTGATTGCCAGTCGAGGTTGAGAGGGGGTGGGGGGTGAAGGCTCAAGTGTGGGTGCGCTGCTTCTACTGAGAGGACACTACCCTGACTGTTGCAGTCGCCAACAAGCGCCCCTTTTTGTACCCCTCAGAAGGGGATGGGTCAGAATGCAAGCACGGCACCCCAACGCTTGATGCCGTGCCATTCCATCGGATTCATCTTGACTTGGTGTGACAAGCTGATCATCGTCGAAGCGGCTCGACTGTGACGTGTGTCCACCGCTTGCACGGCTTGCACGGCTTGCCGTCAGACTCGGCTGATGTGAGCGGGGCTCCACGAGTGCCACGCATCACGTTCACATGTACGTTCAGCACAAGCACAGTGCATGCTGAGGCAGGCACGAGCAGCGGCTGCACGCAGCTCGTTGGGTGGCAAGCTTCACGTCAGATCGTCGATTCGTGATTGAGGGGCAGCGTGTGGTTTGTGGTGGTCACGATCAATGACTCACGGCTGATGATCGGATCCACAGACTCCCCGAGGCGCGCGGGGTGCAAGCGCAACAGTCGCTGTCGCTGTCGCTGTCGCTTTCAAAGCACCCGCGCCGCGGCACGCCGATTCGAGATTCGGCGCGACTCGCTCGAATCAGCCGCGCGCCTCTCGCTCGAGACGGCGCAATCACCGAACATGCCGCCCGCCTGGGTGGTCGCATCACGTGCACATGGTGCTGCATGTCTCGGCGATAACGCGCGCTCGCTCGAAATCAAGAAGAATCAAATGCAGGAAGAACGCGGGTTGAGTCGAATATGTGAGTCGAGTCGAGGTGAGGCGAGGCGAGGCGAGGTGAGGTGAGGTGAGGTGGCCCCCACGACGACAGCGGCAGCTACTACTACTGCAGCTAAGGTCAAACCGCGCACGCTCGACGATCGATCCATATCGAGTCGATTAAACCTCTCTCTCCCTTCGCATCCTTGCATTTGCACGCCTCTCACAGTGCAGTCTCCTGACTTTGTTCCTAATCAATTTTGCACGCCCGCGCTCGCTCATCCACTTTTAATTGCAGCCGCGGCTCGATCCTTCTCGTGATATATCCTCGATCGGCGCGGCGTTCATTGCACCATCATGCCATCGCAACAAGAAGCGTCTGCAGCAGCGCCAGACCCCAGACAAGCTACGGTGCTGTATAAGATCTTGCTGCCATCCGAGGCCGAGCAGCTGCCGTCGATCAAGTGGTCGGGCACGCAGCTGGATGTGAGACCAATTGAAGTGAGGGTGATGCTAGCTGGTTGGTGCACATCCTTGCTGACACGTAATGCATCTTTCTCCTCTTGCTGCCGCCCAGCAAAAAGATGGCTTCTTGCATTTCTCATCCAAGCATCAACTGCCAGGCACCTTGTCGCGCTTCTTTGCGCACGTCGAAGAGGTCGTCATCTGCGCCTTGCCGTTGAGCACGCTTGCGCTGGGCGAAGCAGCAGCAGAGGACCGGCCGCGCCGCACTTTGCAATACGACCAATCGCACGGTCAATTCTTTGGACACATTTATGGCGTGAGTCGCAAGTGGCGTGTACATTGACAGCCAGCGGTTGCCTGTCAGCTGATCGAACGCGAGCGACGCTTTTGATTTTTGCCGCTGCTGCATCACTTTACCCTGACCTGTCATGTCAATCAATTTTCCCCGCCATCAAGATGATCGACCCCGAGACACACCTTGTTTGGCGTCGCACCTACAGAAGCGCGGCGGGCGGGTGGGATAGCGTGGATGTGTCTGACCTCACTTTCTGAGACGCCATGAAACGATTCACAATTGCGATTGCGATCACCCAGCAGGTCAGCCAGGCCACGACATGCCATGACACGCACAAATGGGCCTCGAGCAACCACCTGCGACGTTGAGTGCATGGCGGTGACATGAGACCTCGTGAAAGTGTGATTTGCCAGTCTTCGTTACACAGGCATCCTTTGCCTAATGTTGTGTCCAGCAGACCACGCTTGCGCGCGCCGCACCTCCACGATCGTCGTGGTAAGCGTAATCTTATGTGTGCAGACGCATTTTCATCAAGTCGGTGAGCAGAACGTGGACTCACGACTCCTCTCACACAGTCAGAGGCAAAGAGACAGATGAGAGCCTTGAGGCGGCTGAGCGAACCCGGCCTCACGTGTCGGTGCTGTCAATAAAGTCACGTCACGAGTCATGCTTCGTAATGCATGGAGAGCGTGAGTCATCTCGACTCTTGCTGGAGTCAAATCTTGATATTCGATATCACGAGTCAAGAGTCGGACTTTGTGAGTCGCGAGTCGCAACAGTCACGGGATCAAGAGTCGTGAGTCGTGATCGAGTGTTGGACTCATTATCTTTGGATCTCTAGGATGGGATACGCGCAGGAGAGTCACGAGTAGCGCGTAAATTGGGCCGCAAACATCCGCGTGTCGCGCGGCACATAGCAGCAGCAGCAGCAGCAGCAGCAGCAGCAGTCACTGCTGCATGTGAGTGCCGCGCGACACGCCGCCCGCCGCAAGGAACGACGCGCGCAGGCGCGCGGTTGCATCGATCGTACGTGAAGACGGGCGGGCAGTTTTGGGCTGCATGCACGACAGTCGTGAGTCGTGAGGGTGCGTTTGTTATGACCTCGTGATCGATCGCCTTTCATTCCGATTCAGTCTTGATTAGCAACCACGATTCAGCTCATCATGGCCCGCTCCATCGCAAAGAAGCCACGATAGCGATCACTGCAATCACGTTGGACTGGCACATTCTCTCTGCCCACGCTCGCTGGCACGAATCGCGCGTCTCACAACGCTCAACTGCCACCTTCCGTCGCCAGACGGAGCGGAATGCTGTCTTGCTCAGCTTGTCAATTTCATCGTCGTCGAAGCGCTCTTGAGGGTCACCGCCATTACAAGCACTCTCAGCATCACTTGCACGCTTTGCAGCTCGGAAGATAGACAGCAACGCGATCTCTACTCGCCACAATGGCGTCTTTGGATAGTGAGTCGAGGCGGAGTGGCATCCGTTACGCCCCCCACCCGACCTGCGCTGCGATGCTGGCTTTGGCTTGACGCATACACCACCTCTGCACATCCCCACCAGAGCTGGCCATTCGTGGTGTACGCTCATTCGACGAGAAGAGTATCAACATCATCCAGTTCTACACCCCACTGACCGTCATCGTCGGTTACAACGGCAGCGGCAAGACTGTGAGTTGCGCACGTGATGCCAAGTGCTCTGCCGTCCGCTCGCTCACGAGTCTGCACCCTGCTGCTCTTCGTTGCCCAGACCATCATTGAATGTCTCAAGTATGCGACCACAGGAGATCTGCCTCCCAACACGAAAGGTGGCGCATTCATACACGACCCCACCATGGCAGCAGCTAACGAGGTCAAAGCGCAGATTCGCTTGCGATTCTACAGCACCAGCAGAGTCCGCATCAACTGCGTGCGAAACATTCAAGTCTCCAAAAGGAAAACGACGGGTTTGACGATGAAGACGCTCGAAGGTCTGCTGCAGGTGGACGACGAGAATCGTAGAAACAAGGTGGGTGAAGACGGCGCGTCCTGGCTGAGCAGAGAGAGTAGGGAAAGGGGGGGGCGGGGGGGGGGACATGCGACGAGTGTGGCGCTTATGAGGGGGGGGGACATGCGACGAGTGTGGCGCTTATGATGCTGATCCAACCAATCTATGCTGTATGGGGATGCCTCGCTTCAGCGAGCAGTCTTGTCCACAAAATGCGCAGAGCTCGACGAGGAGATTCCGCGTCTGCTGGGAGTCTCAAAGAGCATCCTCGACAATGTCATCTTCTGCCACCAGGAAGACTCGAATTGGCCTCTCTCAGAGCCCTCCGTGCTGAAAAAGAAGTTCGACGACATCTTCGAGGCGACCAAGTGAGTGTGCGGCAGTGCAACCTACATCGACGAGAGGGCTGACGACAGAGCGGATTCATTGTCAGGTACACGAAAGCACTCGAGAATATCAGAACGATCCGCAAAGAGCAACGAGAGGATCTCAGAGTCCAACGCGTCGAGCTGGAAAGCCTCAAGACTGACAAAGAGCGATCCGATGGGGTGCGTACAATGTGGCACCATACACGGCTACGGGCAAGCGACTGATCTGCTTGTACGCTTGCACAGATCCGAGAGAAGCGTCGAAGGCTAGAAATCAGCCTGACGGAGAATGAGAATAAGCTTGACGATCTGAACGAGGATATCAGGGCGCTGACAAAGGAGAACAAAGGTTTCTACGACAAGGCCGTGCGTTTCAGAGAGACAGTCGCCAAAGCAGAGACGATGGAGGAGAAGATGCGCCTTCATCGAGAAAATATGGAACAGTTGCGAAGCACGATGACGCACATTGATGGTGAGTCTAGCGCCGCTCAGAAGCTCTTCGGCTGTTGACAGACCGAGCTCGCCGAACCATTCCGCAACCAGAGCCTCAGTCCGAACTTCAGCGTCGCAAAGATCGCTTTGGGGAGCATCTGCAACGTCAGCGGGTTAAACAAGACAACTTGAAACGTAAAGTGCTCGACGGCAAGGATCAGCTTCAGAGTGTTGAAGAGCGCAGGTCGCGCAAAATCGGGGAAAAGGGGGGACTAGAGAATGACCGCAAGGTGTGTCAGTATGGGCGAGACGTTGTCCAAACAACGCTGACGACGCATGCCACTTCTTCTCCAGCATCACGACCAAGCGATCGCAAAGAGAGAGCGAGAAATCCGTCGCATCAGCGGCGAGCTCAGTATCAAAGGCTTTGACACCCAAGGGATGACCGAAACCCAAGTCGAAGACTTTGCTCAACGCATCGCTACACACGCACGCAAGGCCGAAGCTGATCTTGACGATGTCAAAGTGAGTGTTGTCTTACTCTCTGCACTCGACACACGAGATCTGCCACGTGACGGATGCTGACGAGCCCTTTCTATTTGGTCAGTCCGAGGGCGTCAACAAAGAGCGACATTTGACCAATGTCTATCAAGAATTGCGAGGCAATTTGCGCGCAAAAGAAGTCGCAAAGGAACAAGCCAGCGATACGGCGGTGAGCTTGTCAAGGTGGCAACAGAGCTAGTCTTGCACACTCATCTCTTGCTTTGATCCCACTCTGGACAGCGTCGCGTGAAAGAACGCAAGAAACGTGCTCAGGATGAACTCGACGGCTTCGCCATTACAGCATCCGATCTGACAGCCGCGGAAAAGGACTTCAAAGATGCCCAAGCTCGCTGCGAGGCAGTCTCGCAGGAAATGCGAGGATCTGAACACGATGACCAGCTGCGCGACATCAACAAGAACATACGCCATCTTGACCAGCAGCGCGAAGAGCTGACCGTCGAGCTCAATAGCCTCAACCGGAACGCGGATCAACGAGCAAAGCTCGACGTGAAGAAAGCTGAGAGGGATCAGAAGGCGAAAGAGATTGAATCGATGTGCGTAGCTCGCAAGTGACTGCAGTGCCAGCGCCTTGACCCTCAAAACATGTGATGCTCCTTTCCGGCTCTCCCAACAGCATGCAACGCCACGAGTCCACCATTCTTGAGCACTTGGGTTCGAAGCCATCTTCCGACCGACTGGAGACAGAGGCCATCCGTGTGATGAGGTGGGTGGCTAGCACGCCTGTTTCGCGCATCGCGCGCTGATCCCGCGTTCGCTCTCGCAGCGAAAAGGAGAGTGCTGCAAATGCGGCCGAGAGAGCGGATCAGGCTGCAAATAAGGAGCTGCAGCTGGTTGAAGCTTCTTTGTCGTTCGCTCGCAGCAGCTTGCAAGAAAACCAGGCGAGAAGCGCTGGTCAGTCTGAAGATTTGGCGCTCCAATTTGACGCCATCTGACCACCGGTCCTCAACTGATCCTCATTCGCAGCTCTGAGCAAAGAGATTCGCAACACTTTGCTCGACAACGAGCAGACCGACATAGCGTCTGGCCTGGACGAATGCAATCAAGAAATCGCGACGGTCACCAACATGCTGAGTGGCATGGAGCACCTCGCCGGATTCTTTAAACGCGTAAAATTGGTAGGCGATCAAGATCACACTTGTTTTGGATGCGGCAGATCACTCGCACAGGGCGAGAAGGAAAGCTTCCACCGACACGTAGAAGAGCAAATCAAGCTAGCAGCCAGAGCTGACCGCAATGAACTCGAGGGCGATCTCGCAGAGTGGAACAAAAGGCTGGCAGCGGTGCAGAGCCTCGTACCAAAGCAAGAGCTGCTCAATACAATTGACCGAGTCGAAGTTCCCAAGGCGAAACAGACCGTCGAGACTGAGCAGGCGCGACTCGCAGAAGCAAGTGCACGAGCAGAAACGGTGGGTCGTCGTTGAATTTCAGCGCGGGACCACGCCGACCACTGAAAACATGTTGTTCGCAGACCGCTCAAGGCCTCACGAAAGCGCGCTCTGATCTCAAAGAGCTGAACACCCTCAAGAACCTGGCGGCGGACGTCTCGCGCCTGCTGTCAGAAGTGTCTAGCCTGAGCAAAGAAATCACGGCGCTAGAATCCGACCTTTTGCGGACTGGTTCGACCAGAACCGGGAATGACGTGCAAGCAGAGATCGATGCTCAAACGGATCAGCTGTGAGTCCACCTGTGCTCGATCACTCAGGTCGAGGTCCTGACAGCTGTTCGCTCTCACCTAATGCACTCAGTAAACAAGCGAAACGCAAGCTCCAAACGGTGCAGAGTGAAAAGGAGCATCTGCAAGGTCGTCTGACTCAAGCTGAGCGAGCTGTTCATTCAGCAGAGTTGGCTTTTGCGTCTCAACGTCAAGAGGCTAGCAAACGTGAAGCTGCAGCCACGCGCGTCGAGGAACTTACGAACGAGCTCCAAGAAGCACATAGACTTTCTGAAGTGAGTAGTAGCGCACGCTGGTGGTGACGGCAAGCTGATCAGTACGTCATCGTCGCAGAAACTCAGCGAGGAGGTCGCGGCAGCCAGCACGCCGATCCGCAAGGCTCAGAACGAATTGGAACAATTCAAGACCGAGCAATCGACGCGAGAGGCTGCCGCTTCTAGCAAAGCTGCAGAACTTGGCGGGCACACCAAGCTGCTTGCTGAATTGGACAGTCAAGCACAGAGGTGCGTCCCTTCTACGCTACGCTACATTGCCCCTCTCTTCAAAGCAGTTGACGCTCGTCCTTTCCTCAGATTCATCGTGCAGCGCGGGGAGGAAAAGATGGAAGATTGCGTCCAAGCGGTTGAGAATTTTACTTCGGAGATGCAGAGCATCCAAAAGGATATACAAGCTGTCGAGGCAGACGCTGCAAAGATCGAGAAAGAGTTCAACGAGTCGAAGGCGACCGAACGCAATATCAACGATAATCTGCGCTTCCGCACTCTCGACGCTGACGTCGCCCGCATCCAGACAGAGTACGACAGTCTCAATCTGGAGGAAGCCTACGAAGCGAATCGCACCTGGACCGAAAAATACAACACTTCGAAGGAGCGCGAGAACAAGCTGAACGGTGAGGCTGCCCACTTGGGCGGTGTGATCAGCTCACTACGCACTGAAATCCAGGGTCGCGAACAAGAGCTAAAGGATAGCTACCAAAACGTGGAAAAGCGATACACGGCCAAGCTCGTCGCATTCAAGACTGGAGAATTGGCCGATCGCGACCTAGAGCTCTACGTCAAAGCGCTCGAGAATGCAATCATGCGCTACCATGCGATCAAGATGGAGGAGATCAACGAGCAGATACGATATCTGTGGGGCCGCACGTATCAAGGCACGGACATCGATACCATTCTCATCAAATCTGACAATGAAGGCGCACGTGCTAATCGCTCCTACTTTTACCGCGTGTGCATGGTCAAAGACACGGTGGAGATGGACATGAGAGGACGTTGCAGCGCTGGTCAGAAGGTCCTGGCCTCGATCATCATTCGCTTGGCTCTTGCAGACAGTTTTGGCGAAAATTGTGGGATTCTTGCGCTTGATGAGCCGACGACCAACTTGGACAAGGAGAACATCGTGGCGTTGGCAAAGAGCCTCAACGACATCATCAAGGAGCGCAAGAGTCAGAGCAATTTCCAACTCATCGTCATCACCCACGACGAAGACTTCCTGACGATGCTGGGACAGAGCGACAGCCTCGATTACTACTGGCGCTGCTCCCGCACGGCCCATCAGACTTCCATCATTGAGCGCGAACGCATCCAGTGATGCTCGCACCTCACCTTGACCCTGCTCGCACGCGGTCTCGTCTGCGTGACATCAATGCTTAGAGATGTTGTTGATGTTGGTGAACCCACATTTCTGCCGTCGTCTGCGTGTCTGCTCGTAGTCTCTGAATGTGGAAAGCTCCCAGGGTATTTTCAAAGACGTTCAATCCTGCCACGTAGTGGCACGTCTTGATTCGGCCCAGGCGCGTGACATCAGGCAAAAATTTTGGAGAGTCATCATCTTTGCGCTCTACTGTAGCGCGCGTGAGGGTCTCGTCACAGCAAACTTTCTGCGGTGTCGCCATAGCACGTTTGCAAGGACTCACCACTCAAGATTGCATACTCTTCATGGGGTGCAAGCACATAGCATGGCGTGGACGGAGTCAGCCCCTCTGCTCGGTCAATGTTGGGATTGTTCTTGAGTCCGATCACTGATTCGTTGCCCAAGCAACAGTCGGTGAGGGTCGCCTCATCTCGTCCACCGGGGGGCAACAACGCATTGAGGGCTTTCATGCGGCGCTGTCCTCGTTTTGGTGTTGCTTCTTGCGCCAATTCTAGCGACTCCCTCCTTACAGTGTCCATCCCGCCATTTACAACAGCATTCACGTCCAATTTCTTCTGCAGAACGGAGCGCTTGACGGCCGAAACAATCTCACCTTCCGTGAAGTCTGTGGCAAGCTCAGTCCACTTTTGTACACTCATAGTACGCTGAGTTCTGCTCTTCTTCAGATCTCCTTAAGCAAGACCTCCCGGGCAAGGTCGCTCATGCCCCAGCCGATTTGCAGTGCTCAGTTTGGGGATCGATCTTGAAGACAGGGCAAAAAGGGGTGTCTTCTTCCTTGTCTGGCCTTGGTGGCCATAATTGAGCCCTCACTACCAAGCCCTGCGCCCTCACGGCCCTCAATGGAGGTGACCTCCGCCGCGCATTTACGGACATTTCGCGCAGGGGCCACGGGATCACCTCCTTGATTGCGCGACGGAGGTGACCTCCAAAGCGCCTCAAGACGCACTCTGAGCCTCGCGGACGGACAGCTTTGATTGTCTGGCGCCCGTTAGCCATCTGTGAAAAGGGTGCGTAAAAAAGGCTCGATTGCCGTCAGCGCATTGTTACCTCTTTGCACTTCTACGCACACTCAAAGTTCCACCCCACTCACCCTCTTTTTTGCTTTGTCGCTTGTCTTATCATAGCGAAGTAAGCCTTATGCAAGAGTCTGACCCGAGTGCAACTGCTGACTGACACGCTCCTCACTTTCCAGCAAGATCAATGTCCACCTCCTCCTCGGCGTCTTAGGCGCTCATCATGATTTTACTTCCAGTCCTAGTGTCGTTTATGCATCGGTCGGCCGCGTTTATGTAGAGCTTGCTCCCTGTCAGTGCTGTATGTGTGTGAACTTCAAAGCGCACTCCTCAAATGTATTGCTCTTCGTCCTCAAGGGCGTTCGTCTTTTTGGCTGATTTCGGTGGGTGAGGTTGTAGCCTTAGAAAACGGTATAGCCGACGCATTCGCTGGCGCACTGAAGCTGCAGCGAATTTTCGATAGTGGATCAGTGGCTGTCAAAAGTACGGCGCGGTCTTCGCCAGCGAGCCAGAGCTGAAATCACCGCAGCGTTCGGCCCGAACTTCAAATGTGAATTCTCGAGGGGGGTTTTGTTTGGATGTCGCATCGTGCATGAGACAGCGTACAAGACTACTTAACATGGCTCGGCAATGGTCTAAGCCGATTTCACGCCTTCGGTTGCTGAGCTGAACGGAAGCCAAAAAGCGCACCTCCAAAGAGATATGACCCAGCGCATCTATCAAACAATTCGAATGACGATGAAGATATAAGCGCGTGCTTCCGAGACGTGTGTAGTACTACAACTTCGTGCCAAGAATAATTTCACGAGGTTCCGCTTCTGTCAGCATTCTGCTCAGTCTTCAGTACTTTTGAGCACTATCATTGACCTCACATACTGCGCAAAGATAGCTTTTCGATGCCCAAAAAAGTGACAAAAAGAATGAGCTACTGCTTTGGATTGTTCTAGACCTTGCGCGCTCGCATTTTGATTAAAGTCCTCGGATCTGTGTGATTTAAATTTGTCAGTCGACCAAGTTTGCAGTTCGATCCCAACATGTAGCGGCGAGGTCGACATGAAGATTGCACGAGCGTGTAATATCTGGACGAGAGTAAGTGTGATTTTGTTCTCGGGTCGTGCTCTCCATATACTGGACCATCGCCGATGCAATTAGCTGAGACTGCGATGGTCTTGTCTTCTCAGGGGCTTTCGAGCGATATCCGAGAATCGAAACCGCCATAACGTGGCGTGCATCAACCATGGGCTCGCACCACCTTTGCTTGAAGGTACTTCGGACGGCAAAAACGCTGTGAACAAGTGCTGAAACTTTGTTGAAGAGCTTCACAGGACCCCAATCACCACATATCATGGTCCCGCTGTGCCGCGGGAAACGCTGGACCAAGACTGAACACATTGAGTATTTGCTCTGTGATGTATCAAGTGCTTAGCGAATCTGATCTGTAGGTTTGAACAAAGACTCACAGTGATACACACGCTCGATAAAAGGCTTGCGCGGACACACGCACGACCTGATGGAACTCCGTGGAGATCGAAACGGTACGGGAGCGCAGACATTCGATGGTGCTAAGGCTCCAATTTCACTCTGGAAGCTGCAAAGTAAATGTTGCTACAGCGAAGAACAGCGAGCTGCTTGGGGAGGGAGAATTTTAACGTTTTTTCCAATTTAAAGAAATGAGAAACCTCCCTCGTGCTCGCAACGCATATTCGGCCCACTGATTTGGTGAGATCGCATCTATGAGCTAAACGGCCTTTGGAGCAGGCGATCAACGTCGGCGAGTTTACATTACGCATAGTCGAAATCATACTTCCACAGACCCTCTGGCTTTGACGGCTACCTTGTCTTAAAGAGGCGCCGTCGAGGCGGACTCGTTCAAAAAGGCTCAAGCTGTGTCAGCCACGCCTGTTTGACTTTTGTCGTCTAATGCCTCAACTTTTCGAGTCGCCTGTGGCAGCATCAGAATCTAACGTGTTAATTTTTTCGGCTTGACGCTGACGAGCTTAAGGCCTCTCCATGCCGCGCCGAAACCATTGAAGGGAGACGTTCGGTCTCCATTCGCAGCCTTTATCAAGGACCACAGCGATGTACCGTGTTTACAGCTTTTTCCTTCCATTGCGCTCTCAGAATTTACATGTGCCTCCCTTTTCAACACTTCATCACCACTGAGCCCAAAGTCTGCTTACAACCTACCAACGTGAAAAATCGAGAGAGCTTCAGCTCAAGAATTGACAGACTTACTGGAGGCCCGTGTAGAGACGCCGAACGTCCGCACATTCAGTCAGCGCTTCAGTTTTTGCACGCATAATCCCTCTTTTTTTTTTTTTTGGTGCTTCAAGCACTTCAAGACGCAAGTATCTCCTTCAGACTTGACAGTTCAAGCTTTTCGGACTAGAACATGGCGCAGATTTGGAATCAGACATGCATCACTTAGTCTGAGATGATTATCGAAGTGTAACATCTCACGTCTTTCAACGGATTGCAGTTGCCAAGCTCGAACGAAACTATAAGCCAGCTCATATTTGAAGAACTCAAGTACTCACGCACCACTCCGCGTCGAAGTTTCGTTTTCTGATGCATGTTCGCTTTCAGATGCGTCGAGATTCGGTCAGATCATTGTCGTGATGTCCTTCAGAAGAGAGGGCTTTTTTGCGGCGCTAAAGTTGTCTCACCCGAGGCTTCGCGCAGACTGTTTGTCGCTGCAGCATCTTGTACAAACACCAGAAACAATGAAGATTTCAGCAGGAATCCAAAAAGCTGGCTCGTCGATACTCCATGCCCGTATTTCCTGATCTCGGCTTTATTGCATTTTAGCGCAGCCATCAGTACGCATGATACAAATCCAACGCAGGAAAGAATAAATACATCTCGAGCCCTGCACATATCCGCACCAATCACCAGCATGCGGTCTTTGCACGATGAGTGACAAATTCCCTGCGCCTAACGCCTGTTCATCAGAAAGGTCGACTACCTACAAGACTAGCGTGCGAAGCTTCCCTAATGCTGTACGCAGCGTTAGTCGGTCTCCGCCCCTCTGCGTCCTGGAATCTCCACCGTAAAAAGAATTTAGCAGGTATGGTTCAGGACAGACAGGCTTTTCGGGTCATGCTTGACTTCGTGAGACAGGCACAGCGAGAGCTGGGCTAGGAAGCTCAATCTGTGTAAGCTCGACTGTGAGTCTGTGGCACCGCTTGTAATCTCCACCCCACGTCCAATTGGTACCAACGTGTAGCAGGTCGCGTAAAGTCGACTGTCACGCACAGCCCGAGGGTTCAAACTCAGACAGCCAGCCTGCAATTGCTCGCTATCAACGATGTTCTGCACACAGGACCAAATTTTGATTCGTCAGCACTGTTCCCAGGCATTTGTCAATGATGGCACTATCAAATCAACGGTCATTGGTGCTTTGCTTTGGAATAGCTCAATGCTGAGACGGCGTTTTGATCTGGGTGTAGCTCAATGCTGCAACCGAGATTAATCTCGATGAAATTGAACAAGTCTGGGTGGAGAGCAAGGCGCTGAGCAACACCAAGAGTGGACGCTGCAAGCTCAGGAATACCCTTTCCGCTTGTTAGACGTGGGATGTTGAATGCGGAGCTTGATGCTAAGGAGACTGCAGCACTGCAGCTGCAGACCTTTCTGACTTACAAAGTGTCAGCATTGAGCATCCGTGGCCATCACACAGAGCTTTTCGTTACCGTGTCTCAACCCACTATTCCAAAAAAAAAAAAGGCGCCCCAAGAAAGTAGATGTTCTGCTGGGCAGACTCGCTCAGCAGGATTTTTGGCTCAGACGTGCCAGTGGGAGCACACCGAGCTCAAAATGATTCCATGTCCCAGAGCAGGCGTGTTCTTCGAGAGACGGCACCCTACGCTGCAACGTCAGCGCTCTCCGAGCTCCAGAACGAGCATTCTACACCTCAGAGCAAGCTTGATCCTCTCAAAGAGTCGGACGCGCAACCTCAGCTTAAGTTTGCCAATCAACAGACCACCTTTGACGTCCCATGGTGAGCTTCAGTCTGCGCTCAAGTTTGCGCCAACCATCTCAAGAACCCTAAGCCCAGCCCATCAAGAGCGTGGTTGGGCCAAGGGCGCCCTCGTTACGCGCACCGAAGAGAAAATGATGCTCTTTTGGGAGCTTAGGAAGCTACAATTCCCTTCGACAGCCTTTGTTGAGAAGGGCCTGAGGAAGAGGATAGGGAAGCAAATGATCAAGTCCAGACTTTGCTGGAGCATCTGTTGGTGAGTTCTCATTCATTCACCCTTACACTTCACAAAGTTCTAAAAGTGTTGTCTCTCTTGACCTGGCAGTCAATCATTGAAAACCTCACAGTAGCTCCAACAGAGACAAAAAAGGCCAGGATGAGCTAGTGGCTCTCTGAAAGGAGAATGAAGTTCTCAAGGTTGAGAAAGACGCCTACCTGCAGCGCTTGCTGAAGGATCCCTTCATTGTCGGAGAGGCCAGCGGCACCAATGCGCCCAGCGACGGGTAGAACGTCTTTGACAAAGTAAGTTGCAGCTTCTTCCACGCATGCATAGTCGCTCATGCTCAAAACGACTTCCCTTCGACACACTTTGTTGAGAGAGGACTAAGGCAGAGGAAAGGGAGGCAAAGAATCAAGCTGAACAGCTTTGATGCTGCACAGTCTTGGTTGTTTGCCGCTTGTGCCTCTTGCTCTTTCATGGATCCAGGAGCAACCACATGGAACGGGCTTGTAGGGTCAGATTTGATCTTAGGGCTCAGTGATGTGAACCTGGATCTGCGTAGGCTGCGGTGGGAGCTTTGGCTGGAAAGTCAAGTCTCTGCACCAAAGCCAAAGACTATCGCCAACGTGTGGTAAGCCTAGCGGGCTGTGCGTCACTAAGTAAGCATCCTCCTTGCACGTTAGATTGAGGCACGGAACAGGCGGAAGTTCAGGATGAGGTGATCCTAGACTACCTGGAATGATTGACAGCGGGGATCTTGCCAGGCCTGCATCAAGAACATGTACAGAGCACCCGTGCGGCAGGTCTACCAGCTCTTGGCTTCTGTGGGCATGCCATGCAGGGTGCAGCATGCCAAGGGTATATCTCTGCCCATCACACAGTAAGTAGAACTTTGAAGGAAGCATAGTGGACATGGGCTGACTTGACCTTAGCATCTAGGACAAAGATGATCCAGTGTTCACCGTGGGCCTGGATGTCACGGAGGACTCAGAATGGAAAGCAATGCCAGCCAGCGGGCATGACTTTGGAGCTCCGGAGATTGGGGTCGTCCTGAAGAATGGACCAGGCGTCTTCATGCTATGGCATGGCCTGGAGACACACAGCACAACAGTCCCTGGAAGAGAGGCAGACTTCCTGGACCTCCGTGCCAGGCCAAGGACACTGGGATGTGCTGCCTATATGAAGCCCCTGATCACAAAGCAGGGAAAAAAGCTTGCCAAAAAGCAACTAGGCCTACCCCTTGGTGCTAAAAAAGCGGAAGACTTCAAGGTGGGAAATCCATGTAAATATTTCGAATAGTCAGCCCGCAAGGCACAAAGACCTCAGAGACCTTAGCGACATCAACGACCACAACAGAGGCAATGACAACGGCAATCCATCGCCATTCCCTCCTCTTAGGTGCAAGCAATCAGTGATTGCATACTCTCGACGATTCTATGATGGACCGTGCCCCTCTTCTTCCACCACAGAGCGTCCCTTCTCTTCTGCGCATCATACTCTCGACGATTTTATGATGGACCGTGTCCCTCGTTAGTTTCCACTGCAACTCAAAGCTGAGGGATTTCATAAATCGAGCACTGACCTCATCAACCTTGCAGATCAACCCCCGCAGCGAGGGTGAGAAGCGTCTGAATGATTTGACCAAGGAACAAGATGATCCCAAACAAAAAAAACACCAACCTTGTGGGGAACAACGAGAGACTACAGCGCAGGAACAACGCGCTCTCAAGGAAACTTGCAGAGAAACAGGAGGCCTTCAAGCAACTCGAAACGCAAAATGAGCACCTCAAAACACAAAAAAAGGGTTCTCAAAAAGCAAATTGCCACTCAAGCAGCTGTTTGTCAGGCAACAACAAGTATTGACGTGGCCTTAGAACACCACTCCTTGAGGGTGACATTCACATTCAGTATTCATTGTTAGGCTGCAGCCTTTGGTTGAAGAACAAAAGGTGACTTGGAGTGGGTTGGAGGAAGCAGACACACCTTTGTATGACTGCAATTGAGCTCCCTAGCTGGTCACAGTGCCCAAAAGCTCCAACTTCCAAATCAGGCCTGCAGAGCAGAGTCTGCATGCATGCGCGCAAGATGACAGTCAAAAGTGAGCATGTACAATTGTGGATGAGCACAGCAAGCTTTGCATGCTAGCTCACCTGGAGGGCCAAAGCCAGTTCCCTTCTTGCTTCTAAACATTGACTGAACTGCAAGTGTCTGGACACTTTCAGCAAACAAAGGGGCGCAAAGAGTTGTCCTCATGCATGTACCAGTACGTGTGCGCAACGGCATGGTTAGCACAGTGTATCAGCTAAAGTGGTCGTCTCATGACGTGGCCCCAGCACCCGCAGCTGGAACAGGGAGGCCTCTCTCTGCTCTGAAGTCCTGTCTCCAATGCTGACGATGGTGTCAGAGCTGTGCAATGCCATCCTCGCCAAGCAGCAAGCGCATGCATTGGAATCCACCAAGTGGCTGATCACCAAGCATGTGAGCTGGCTAGGCGAGGTGAGCAGCCACCTGTTGATCTTGAGGAGGCTGTTTGGAATTTGCGCTCCCCCTTCACCAAGTGAGACTTTGCTCTCTTCGATTACCGGACTCGCTCACCAGGTCCAGCATTGGCAAAAGAGCTTACTGAAGACCACAATCAGCTCATGTCAGCAGCACCTGGCTTCTTGCGCCTGAGGCAAGGAAATGGCAGTGGGTTGCCGTGCTTGTTGCAGCTGTGGTTGTTGTTGTCTTTGCTGAGGTCTTCAAAGGTGCTTCTGGGCAGCTTTGCAATGCTGAGTGCTTCAACATGGGCATTGAAGGACTGTGTGTGATTGGGTCAGCGCTTGTAAAATGTCACTGCATGGGGCACAGTTGCTTGCTTGCTTGCTCTTCTCCATCTCCTTGACCAGGTGTGCAAAGTGGCGCTTCTGCTTGGGGGCATTTATGGTGGGCATAATGCACAAGTAGTTGCGCTTGTTGATAAGCCCATCGCGATGATCAAAAAAGCAGTAAAGGGGCGCAACCACTGGACTCTTTTGCTTATGACTCAGGGTTAGGGTTCTGGCACAGAATGCCAGAGAGTCAAGGGCAATTGCTGCCCGAGACCAACAATGCTGGACAACTTGTTGGCACTATTGGCCCAGCTGCCAACCGAAGACCACGATCACCTTAACTGGGGTGCTTTGGCAGCCTTCTTTTGTTGAAGTTGCATGAATGGATTTGGATTGCCATCTGCGTCAAAGGCGAAGACATTGTTGTCAGAGGAGAGGTCTTTGTAGTAGCGTCTAGGCGTCTTTGCGATACCCCTGGCCTCAGTGTGCGCATTCATCAATCATTCATGATTGAGCACTCAAGATTGATCAGCATCTTCTTGGGCTCTGGATGTTGTCAGAACGCCGTCAAGATCTTGGCAAAGATGGAGCCTTCTAGCAAGGCTCTGTGTTTCCACAAAGCCCTGAATAGCTGCCAAGCTATTGGAACAATTCCTAAGGAGCTGGAAGGTGCCATGGATGCCAATGCCTTCATAGCAGAGCATGATGTGCCCGCTACCTGCTCGTACCTTGCAGCAGAGCTCTCTGTGGAGGAAGCCAAGATGCTGCTGGAGAAGGGAAAGAGCATGGAGAGCGTGAAGAAAACAGGGACAGGGAACAGGAACAATGCTTGTGTTTGCAACTGGCTTTGTGGACTAGGCTGGCACAAGCTCCACAAGGCAGAGTCTCTCTTGGGCAAGTTTGTGATGGTGGACAAGGATGTGGATGGAGACTTTGAGCTCAACGAGGAATACCGGGTCGTGGAGCTGCCGGACAGCAGACATGCACCCATGCGTTGCCGTAGCTGAGCTACTGCTGGAAGTGAGTTGGAAGCAAAAAGAGTCCAAACGTTATGGTCGCCGCATCTGAGTCTTCTACGTTTGATCTTGACAGGAACCCTCCGTGTCATCGCAACCCCGCCTTGCTGGACACGCCATCCAAAAGCAATGGAATTAATGTATCAGTCCTTCGATGTTGTCGATTGTGTGAGACTTTTCAGACAGCTGGCAAGGGTTCTCCCAACACCTGGCAGCGGTGCAGCAATTTGTGCAAGGCAATTTTGGTTTGGAGATCATCTTGTCCCGCCAAGAGATGCAGCACTTGCATTCCCGCGCACGCATCGTTGGTGTTCTGGATGGCGCTGTGGACGAGCAGGTCTTTAGGTTGCTGTGGACTTTTTGAGAGAATCAAGTGAGGTGTTTTGCCCTGCAACTTTGGTCTTGTATATGGTACTTGCCTCTTTTGTTGAGCTTGATGTGTCTCACAATTGCCTATTCAAATTACTATGGCATGCCATGTGCCAGTGCCAGCGATGATTCAATCGCACTGCTCCGGGCGTGCGCAGGCGTCAAGCGGGGCAGCGCAGGCCAAGAGAAGTTTGACGCGCACGGTGTGCCCTCCTGTGGAGATGCATCGGTTCATCCCTTGGACGTGTATTACCAGCATTTGATTGCTGCGGATGCGAAGGGGATTCATGACCCAGCACTGATGCGTGGTGAACCTCTCATAGGACAAAATGAGACGCATCATGTGATTTTCTGAATGCTTTCTCCTTGTGCTGATGCTTCCACTAGAGCGACAGAGACGGTTGTTGCTGTTTGCGCGCGTGTTTGCCGGCGTGTGAGGGTTTTGTGCTCACAACACAGTTGGCACCACGCTCACATGTACCTCCACCTTGACAAAAGGAGCACTGTCAGTCGAACATCACTGCATCTCCTCCCAATCAGGACTGTTGCGGTGCACACATCGAATTTTCAACGGGTCGCTCCGTGTTGACGATTCACATTGCCTTGCGATATCAACAGCATCAAAGGCCCTCTCCAGACCTGCAATGGGCAGTCGCCGGGGCTGCTATGTGACCATGATGAGCAAGCAATACCGGCTTTTGCTTGATGCCTCTGCGCTGGTGCACGCGTATGCAGGAAGTCGGCACGCCGCGCGTGGCTGAACGCGTCTTCCAATCGAATTCTTCCAGCACCGCCACGTTCGCTTCCACCACCACTACATCTCCAAGTCACGACATAGACGAGGGTCGGCATCGCGGTCAAAATCCCACGCGGCATTTCATTAACCCACCTGGATCCCCCTTAAGTCGAAGAAGACAAGACAGACAGCTCACACACCGCCCAAGCATGAGACTCTTGGCTGTTCCGCTTGCCCGTGCTAGCCCTACGGCATCCGCTGTCTCCACCTTTGTTTCCGCACCCCTTCCACCCTCTTCGGCAATCGCGCGCAATGCAGCTGCAGCACCTGTCTCGGCGCCAGGTAAAGGCAATGAGAAGCCACAGCAACTGCCGCTCGCAACCCGACTGCTCAACAAAGCTTCCAACTACTGGCTTTCCCTCAATGAGCCAGGTGCCAAGTCGACTTTCGACTGGAAGAGGCGGACGTACAGAGCTGGAGAGAGTTTGATGGACAGGATAGAGTACGAGGAGTGGGCGCTGAAAGGCGTCGATCCTCAAGCAGGGCCTGTTTTGTCAGAGATCCGGAGCAAGCGGGAGGCTTCAGCGAGTCAGTCGGCAGCGGAAGGCGCCGCGGAGGTGAGTGGGACTCTTTGTTGCCCTTGGGCGTTTGCGTGCCATCTTGGCATATCCACAAATCGCTCAACCACGGCCCTTCCGCGTGCGCGCGATCGGTAACGCGCTCGACTAGATTCAGCTGCTGTATCCAGCCACGTATCTTCAAGGCCCAGTCCTCATTGCAGCGCTGAGAAAGATGACCAAGCATCGCACCCCGCACCACCGGTCTCGGCTCATCTGGTGTTTGATAGGAATGCCTATCACTATCCCTTTCGCCTTGGTCCCAATCATACCCAATCTGCCTTTCTTCTACCTCGTCTGGAGAGCTTTCAGCCACTGGCGGGGTAAGTCTCGTGCTACCTCTACTGCTCGCTCGACAAGATGCTGATGACCCCACACCCGCCCGTTGCAGCATTCCAGTCGTCGTCTTATCTCTCGCAATTATTAGAGCTGGATGCCATTCGGCCGGTTCCTTCTCAAGAAATGGACACCATCTTTACAGCAGCAGCACAAACGCCAGCAGCACAAACAGTAGGATTGGGTATCTATGACGCGAAGGGGAGCGCCGCCTCCAGTTCTGTCGGTTCAAAGTCCACTGGAGTATCACAGTCCCAAGCGGCGATGGTGCTTCAGGCGCGGCACGTTGACAGGCTGGCGCAATCGTTTTCCCTCTCAGCACAGACGGTGGTTGATCTTAATAGAGCGCGACTACAGACTCAAGCAAGCATAGAGAAGGGTGAACTTGCGAAATTGCTCGAGGCGGCGAAGGGAATTGGCGGCTCCGCAGCTGCGCAGCAACGAGGTGCAGGTGATGAGAAACGGCACGACTCCCCAACAATACGTCCATGATAGTGTCTGCATTGCGTATGAGGAAGCCGGCGCACGACAAGAAATCATTCAAGTTGCAAATTCAGATGCACAGCCCATTCACGAAGCCATGAGAGTCACGAGTGTCGTTGCTGCTCATTGCTCATGACGCGGGCGGCAGGTATAAGAGCTGATTTCAGAGCAGATCTGTTGGGGGGATCTTGCGGGACAAAGGATCTTTGCGCAAGGGACTTGCGTGGCTTGCGGCATTGTTTCCTCAAACGCCATTATCAAGTCGCAAATGTACATGCGAACTAGAAGTGAGAAACACCCTCACTTTCCATCTTGGGGACGCGCTTGCGCTGTTCTCCTGTGACTCGCTATGAGGGTACCGGTGCGCAAATGACGGAATGATCAGCTCTCCGCTATCCTAAATCGCATCGCGCCTGCTGGCTCACCTTGATTCTGCCGATGCCGTCTTCTGCATTCTGTTTGATCCACATCAAAGAACGAACGCCCTTGACTTGAGCCACACCCTTGTGTTGCCTCGCTAGGGATCTCTGCTTAGCTCGTCTGCCCTCTGGGCTGGTGGGGTCATCGTCAAAGTCCATTGCAGAGTCTCTAGACCTGTCCCACTCTTCGTCAGACTGCGCCGCCTCTGCTTCCTCCTCGTACAAAGCATCTTCATCGACCTCTTCCTGTGCTTCGTTGCGCCCTTTGCCTTTGCCTTCCGCGACGGGTACCGAGACCGACCGCTTGTGGAGAGAATTGCTGCCCTCGCCGTTCACAGCGGTGTCGACGCGTAGCGAGTCCGGAGGCATGGACATTCTCTTGTTGGCGGCACTTGCAGCCTTTGAAGCCTTTGGTGAAGGATCTCGAAGTGGACCTGTGACCTTATCCAGACTGCTGTCGCTCGAGATTCGCTCAGGCAAAGGACCTTGAGTTTGCTTGGCAGACATTGTTCGCCGAACCTGCTCAGAAAGGGACTTGGGCTTGTCTCGCTCGCCAGCATCGCTGGACGCGAGGTAGCACTCGAAAGCGAAACGCATCTCCTGGTCGCCGGCTGTGAGCGCCTTATGCTCTGGAGCGATCCCGCTGTGGTAGACAAATGCGAGGTCGAGATGGCCCACCAGTTTCAAGCCTTCCACGAGCTCGTGATCATCTCCTGCACCATCTTTCGCGGCGGTGCACATTTCTTCGAGGACGGGTCTGAGCTTGCCCTTGTCTGGAGGCACTTCGGTAGCGGAGAACGCACCCAGCGCATGTTGCTCCAATTTTGGCCATTCCGCGGCAGAATAGAGAGGCAGGCGCTGCACAAGGGGCGTGTCGTCTGCGATGCGATTGAGCGGCGTGAGGGCATACGCATGCTTGTACTTCCTGCCCGGCACACGCGAATCGCTGCGCAGATGCACGTATAGGAAGCTCGGGTACCTTTGCCGCACTGCGATGCGCAAAGGGCTCTTGAGAGGGAATTCGAAACCCAGTTGGTCGCTGTCACTATGAGCCTCGACATCGTCCGTCTCCGCTGTGCCCCCAACCGTCTCAAAGTAAAGGTGCGCAGCGCGATCAATGTCGAGATCTGCCCGTTTGATGCCGTGTACGCGAGCGGCAGAGACTTCGACAACGCCCACATTCCAGCCAGCCAAGGGGCGGGGGGCGCTCAACTCGACGGAGCGCCAGACCAAAGTGATGCGAATCTTTCCGAAGCCTAGCCCGCCGGTCAACGTGTACCACGCTCCTGAGCTTCGACTGCTGCTTTGGAGCACATCGGCTACACGAAGACCGACCAATCCTAGAATGGGATCAGACTCTCGCATGCGCTGGTCTCGTACGACAAAGTCGATCCGTGCTTTTCGCCAGTCCGCAATCCAGCGCTCCGTCCCAGCGTTGATGAATGGGCGAGGATCAAGGGCTTTGGTTCGAGTGCGGAACACTGCTTCGTCGTTGATCAGCACTTGGACGTACGAGCTTGGGAATTTGGGTGCAGCTTTGCCAGTAGCCTCTTCGTTTCCAGTGTAGCGTGTCTTTGGTGCGAGCCTCTTGGAATTGCTGCTGTACGTGCTTGAAGAGCTTTGCGCCTCGAGACCATCGATGGAATGGATGTGAAATGCAAGGATTCCGGATGGCCACTCGGGCTCGGGGGGTGCCGAAGTTGCTTCTGCGTCGCCAGCAATCATTCGAGTAAGCTTTGCTATGCGTTGGTGCCGCTCAGCGCGTTGTTTCATCAGCTCGGCATCGAGAGGGAAGCCAAGGCTATTCATGAAGCGGTCGAAGCCTGTGTAGTACTGGGAGAGAGGCAGCGCCTCATGGCTCGCTGCGACATCTAGCTTGTCAGCTTCACTCGTAGCACTTTGAGTGCCCACACCTGCTGTCTCGTGTGGCGTGCTTGCGCTGGGCGGTCCTGGAGAGGATTCTGCCGGCGAGTTCGCTTTATTGGCTGCCTGCTGGAGCAGATGCGTGCGGGTTGCGCGGTGACCGGAGGCAGGCTGAGCCAGGCGGAAGAATCCCACGCTATAGTTGAGCGAGCCCTGAACCGAAGCGCCTCGACGGGCAGGAGCGAGATCGTCCTGTCGATGTTCGAGGAAGCTGACATGCCCTGGCTGGCCAGGCCTGTTCAAACTTCGTCGAATGAGCCGCGAGATGGACACATCAACGTGACCGAGCTCGTCATCCGCGCTGAATCGGTCCGCGTCGTACACAGCGAGACGAAGTCGCTCGTGGTCTCGCACCTCATCAGGCCCAACGAGAAGGAAGCTCGTCTCCCCCCACACTGGGTTCTTGGTGCGCGCCATGACGCGACTGAGGTATAGTGGCTTACCCGCCCGTGCGAATGATATGCCGACGTAGGGGTCCGACGTGCCTCCCACATCCGCGGCTGCGAGGCCATTTGCGCGGTGCAGAACCACCGCCATGACGCCGAGTGCGTAGATGTTTTGAGGGCCATCGCCAGCGCCCAAGAGAGACCCCACATCGACGGTGTAGCTCTGAGGCGCGATAAAATCTTTGATGACGCGCTCAATGGAGTGCAGGACGTAGCTAGATATCAGTGGCAAGTTCATCGCGTCGATGACCATTCGCTTGCTCAAGGGCTTGGCCGAGATCTCGATGCGAGGTTTGTCGACAAAGCAGAAAGCGACGTGTTTGACGAAAGGTGCGGCAGGCGTCATTTGCAACCGGACACGCATTTTGCCCTCGATACCGAGCATCTCTATCCAGACTGGCACCTGGACTGCCGCAATCTTCTGCAAGCCGATGGCCATGTACAACAGTAGATGTATCTGCTCTATACCGGTGGAGTCATCATCTTCGTTTCCATCGTTGACGCCACGATGAGCGTCTGTTGGGGTATCAAGGCCCTCCACTTTATTGCTTTGAGCTTTGCGTCTACGTGCTTGCGGGCCGCGATACGCGAATGAAACTGCAAGAAGAGATGGTCGGCATCATTGAATATACGGCTTGGTTTTGGCGTGCTGCACTTTGCCGCCCCCCGCAACGCACCTTCCAGATTGACAAAGTCACCAACATCGAGCGCTGGTGCGTCGTGCTGCTGTGTGCGATCCTCCTCGAGCGTCTCCTGTTTACGCGCGCTCTTGCTGGTCGTCTCGCTTTGTGAAAAGCTCTCATCATCGTCCGGCAAGCGCTTGAAATCGACGATACGAAGAGGTATGGTGCCCTGATCCAAGCCTTCCACACGACACCCGTGCACTATGCCCGGAACCTGCTGCATCAGAGCGTCCTCCAAAAGATCGATGAACGGTACAAAATACTCGGCTGGCAGCGGCAAAGCGTAGAAAGTCGATCAATCAGCTAGCAGCGTTCATCGAGCGAGGCGGCTGTACGTACCTGATATGAGTGGCCAGACAGTAGCGAGGAGGTGATTGACCCATTCTGCAGTTTCTGGGTGTGCCTGCTTGGCCGACTGGTGGGTGTGATGCTGAGTTCTGAGTTGGCCGACTCGTCTACAGTATCTGTCACGTCGACTCAGCTCACCTTTCTTCTCTCTTCTGCCTCCCTCTCCCATGCCATATCCTTCCCAGCTCTCTCGAACAACTTAAGCGATACGTGAGCACCAATGGCTGCAGCTATGATGCCCACGGACCAGTGGAGCAGCCAGGCTGAAACTTGAGCAGCGATCGCTGTGATCAGAACAGCCCGCAGGATGAGACCTCGCTGAGATGCAAGCGGGTCCTTCCACTTGCTTGACCCTGAGTCTGGAGGACTCGCATGATGAGAGTAGCTGTGAAGTCGAGTCGCTGCGCTGGGAGCTCGTTGAACGTTGTTGCTGACCTTTTCCATCGCTTGGGCGTTGCCCGTATCCAGATCGTAGGCGGCAGCATCGAGAGACTTTTCTGGCAGGGGCGGTGCATCGTCCTCTTGATGTGAGTGAGCGCTGGATCGATTACCATTGCCGACAGAGGATGTTCTGCGAGCGAGAGACTTGATGGATTGAAGCGATGGCTTTCTCCTCCTCACGCTCCCTTCCCTCTGCACGGTGGTGGTCTGCGTGGCAGAGTCCGCGTGTGGGATGCCCTCTTGCTCCCGCTCATCTTCTGCCGCTAGACGCTCAAAGGATTCCGGAGGAGCGCTCTCAGTGTGCCGATGGCGTCTGTTGGAGGAGGCGAAGCGGGACTTGAAGCCGGACAAGGCTCGACGCGCTTTGGTGGAGGCAGTCGCATTGGTGCGGATGGATGCTGCAGAGGCGCTCTGTTCGCCGGTCGAGCGTGCGGACAGTGGTGGGGCAGGCGAAGAGGGAGCGAGGTCTCCATCACTTCTGTCGGGCGTCGTGTGCCCCTCCTTGCTCGCACTCATGGTTGAGAGCAGTGATTGTCGCTAGATTGGACGCGGGGAGAGTGACGACGCCAGGCTGTATGCGTGGGAGACGCTTGAGGTGTGCGATCCAGTCTAGGCAAAGCGCGAGCTGACATACAAAGGTGTGATTTGAGGATGAATGCCTTCAGCTTCCATCAGCCGATGGAAGCGCGGAGTACGAGTGGTCGTGTGGAGGAAGCAGCTCAGCTGAGCTGGCAGACTTGAACTAGCACGCCGAAGCTGCACGCAGGGCGAGCCGCAATCGAGGTTGTTTGAGCGCAAGTACTGGAGTAGAGTCGAGTAGGCACGCCATCAATATGGAGCCCACGATAGTGCGCGGTACGATTGTGGTGATTCTCTGGAAGCGGAAACGCGCAGCTGAGTGACCCTCTTGACTGTCTGCAGAGCCTTCGACATACCATATACGTCTTCGTAGAATCACACAATGGCGAATCACGAATGGCCCGCCTATACTCAAGACTTTTGACTCGTGACTGACTGTACATCAGCGGCAAGTGGGTGGGTGGATATATGCGTCTTCAGCATCATCGCGCACACAGCCACATGCTGGAAGTCTTGACTGCCCGTCACACTCACACTCACACTCAAACTGCTGCTCCGCGGATGCGGTCGAGTTGTTTGCGCGCTAATTTCTCCACTCACGACTCAATTCACCTCTGCTGCGTGCATGCATGCATGCCAGTACATCATGTGGCCGCTGTGCTGTGCACGGCCATCGTCACGCCGCATGCATGCTGGGGGTGACCCTGAATTCACGATTAACTCTTGACTGACGACTGTGACTCACTCACTCAACTGCTAACTGCTAAAGCGCCGTCACGGCACAATTTTGGATTTACCATGCAATCATGCCATGGATCCGATTCCAAGTCCATCACATATATGCGCGATGCCGAGAGTGCCGCGGAGTTGGCTCCTACCACGTTGCCTCGTTCACACCGCGCTACACCGAGCTACATACTCGAGAACCACTCATGGGAGTAGGTATCAAACATCACGGATCGTGAAGAGTGAATGGACCAGTCATGAGTCACAATTTACGTACGGCGACAGCAGCATAGAGTCCGTGTGTGAGTGTGAATCACGAGTCACAGTCACTGCGGATCATCAAGCGTTGTCGCCCTCGCAGGCAGATTGGGGATCGCATCGTGATTGTTGAATATGCCACCCCTTGCAACCCATTCCAGGAAGGCCAAGGCCAAGTTGCTTGGCAAAGTTTGGCAGATCGATGTACGGCCAGGCAAAGTGAGCGAGCGCGACCCTGTGTGGGCTCGGATAAGCCAGCCATAGTTAACATCACGCAGGCAAGGCTACCTTGCAGTCATGGCATTCTCGACTTCATGTCCACCCCTAACGCGCCTTTCCTTGCCGCCCACTCGGACAGATCCCAGCGCACGCACGCGTGCTGTGCTGGCATCGTCTTGAGCGGTCGCAAGTGAAGAGTGCTCTCGCCGTGCCAAGTCCACCGATGCGCAGCAAAATGTCACGACTGTGACTGCACCCTCGTGACTACTTGAATCGACTATAGCAACTTGCCTCGAAGAGGGGAAGAGGGAAGCTCAAGGTGATGACGCCGCAAGCCCCTGTGTTGTAGCACGACTTCTCGAATGCACTCTTTTTCAAGACGACTAGCCGATGTACGATGTTGTAGGTCAACGACGATAGTCGCAAGGGGCGAAGTGTGCGTGAAGGTGTGGATGGGTGCTGTGCCGAGTATGCGCACAAACAGATGCAATCGTCATCACGACTCTCCATCTTGCAACCTTTCATTTTGATTGCCATTCGTTCACTGACGTGATGCACAATCGTGTTTCTTGGCCGCGTGGCAGGCATCTTCGATTCCAAGTGTCGAATGGTGTATCAGCAGAGGTATTCCAGATTACTCATTGGACAGCACCCTCATCAGGATCCATGATTCATCACGATTCCAGATTGGCGATTCATTGTAATTTAGGCGTGAAGCAAGGATAAGTTTGATGAATACGCGATGGTAGCACCCTGGCTGCAGCGGTGCGGGATGAATTCGAGACTCGTGACTTGCGGCTGCGATTCTGATTCGAGATTTGGCATGTGAGAGGAGTCGGGAGAGGGATCGGGTGCATATATCCTATGTGAAGCGCCCAGTGCGTGTGCACAAGGGCACGCGAGCTCACCAATCGTGTGGCTTTCACCAGCATGCAAAAGCTCCATGGGCCCGCACTCAGTCACTCAGTACCGTACAGTCAGAGTCCCCGTGTAAGATGAGCTTGACCTTGACTGCATACAGCACAGCCTTGCGCACTCTCCCCACTTTCAGCGCATCCCTGTCTGAACAGAGACCGCACTCGAGACTCACACTGTCGTAGTGCCCGCAGGCTCAGTCACACTGTAACCGCATCTCACTCACTCTCTCTCTCTCCACATCGTCCGTCCATGCCCCGCGTTAGCTTCCACCCCGCGCGTGCAGCTGCCTGCTGCCTGCTGCATGGCTGCATGGCTGCATGGCTGCATGCCACTTTCATTTTTGGGAACACATGCTCACACAGCGCAGTCAAGACTCGTGACTGACCTCGGGACTCACGACTGGTGACGGCGACTACGCTAAATTCCCCTGCCTTTACCGCCTCAACAACCCGTTCTTCTCAACACCGATATAATCGGGGCGAGTCTTTACAGCTAGCAATCACACCTACAACACTCGTGACTTCTGTGTGTCTCAACCATCAACCATCATCTATCCGTCTGCCTCTCAACAGAAGCCAGCGATAGCATACACAGCTGCATTACACGCGCAAATTCGCCCCTTTCTCCAGCAATCATGTCTCCGCAAAGCAATCAGAACGGCGATTCTGCCGGCACCTCGATGCTGCAACACGCCCATCAGACCCGCGCTTCTGGACATCCGCCAAACAGAAGAGAGAAGCCGCCTCAACCGACACCGGATCACAAGACGACCGATGATGCTCGCAGCGATATGGTCAGTCACAGTCTCTCTACACACCATTGGCTGGTCATATGAGGCGCATACACACGCGGCTGCTGCTGCTGGCTGCCCTGCCATGTCTCGGCTGCGGACTCCATACATCTGCTTGTTGCTCTCGCTCCCGCTCTCGCTCACGCTCACGCTACCTTCTCCTTCCTTCTCACACTCCAGGTGCACCTCGCTGCCTCTCGTGGAGGTGGCTTTGCGAGTCTGCGTGACATGTTCTCCAATCAAGGTGAGTCAGTTCTAGCTCGGGGCAGTGCTGAGGTCTGAATGCTGGCAAGGAGGCAGGTGCACGCATGCATGTGCTACGGGGACTGTATGAAGCAGGAGGCCACGATGATTGTCGGCGCTCTGATCCTCTGCGATCTTAGACGTGAGGCAGGCAAAGATCACGGCTATGAGCCTGATTGAAAGATTGTGCGCACTGCACTTTGCCATCCATGGCCACAACTTTGGCTTGTGACTCAGACTTGATCACGCGGGGAGAGGGCCTTGTCGGGCAAAGTCGGCGGTGGTACGGGCAGACGGACGGCGCTGTGCCGCGCGCACGCTGGTGGTTGTGCGTCTGCGTGTCACCTCGCAGCTCTGCATGCTGCCCCTACTCGCCCATCCATCCTTCTGATCACAACTTGCAGCGCCGCGCAGCCAGGCATGCAGGCAGACAGACAGAGCATGCAAGCGCTGCACATTCACGATTCACGATTGGTGATTTCACGAGTCTGCATTTCTTCTCCGCTCCCCACACCACCCTCTCCTGCTGCCCTGCCCTGCCGCCCCCTGCACCTAATTCTTCCCATGCAAGGCCCATCGCCTGCTCGTCTTCTGTGCGACTGCTGAAAGCTGCGCGGGAAGCGTAGAAGTCCGGTTGCCGAGAGGTGCTGGCTTGGGGCCCCTCTAGCGACCCTTTCAGATGGCACTGTCGGTTCTGATCTCCAGAGATAATCCGTTATCAGCTGCACCATCGCGTGCTGCGTCGAGTCAGGGTAGCAGCGCGCGCGCGGGCGCTCAAAAGTCAAGAAGAAGAAGCTTGCAACGAGCCGCTCGCTGCAAGCGCCACATCCGCCATCGTCATTTCTTCCTAGCCTTTGCGCGCACCGCACGTCGAGCGAGACTTGCTCTCACTTGTTTGCCATCGCCAGGCTGCGCTCGCTAGGACGCTGCGCAATTTTGGCAGTGTCACGCACAGATTGCTGCCGCATCTGCCCTTGACTGGCCACGTTGCACCTCATGAGGGTCTCCGTGAGCTCCAAGCTGCCTTTGGCGCCCCACGCTGGGCGCCGAGGATCTGTAGCGGGTTTCGAGTCACGTGTCTTCCCAACTCCCTCTGCTCTTTCGCGGCCTGGAACCGCTGCGCTACCGCTTTGCGCATCACGCAGCTCACGCACACCGCCTCTCCGCAACCGCTTCTCCTTGTCCATGCCTCCTTCTCCCCGCGAATGCGATCGATCCACGCCTTCATCATCCGCTCCGCCCACCACGACCCCCGCGACCGCCATCCTGCGCGACCTCTTTCAACACCAAGACACCGCTTTCTCACCTGAGAAGCGCGATGAGCTTCATCTGCGAGGCCTTTTGCCTCCTGCTCAACAGTCGATGGAGCTGCAAATAGAACGTGCTTTGGCTCAGATACGGGAGAAGAAGACCGACCGTGAGTGCTTCCTCTACGAGCACCACTCAGTCTCGTCTCGCTGACGCCCCATTCCACCACCAGTCGGCCGATACGTTGCCCTCACCGCGCTTCGCCAGACAAATGTGCGTCTCTTCTACGCGCTGGTCATGGCGCACGGAGAGGAGACGCTTCCGATGATCTACACGCCGACTGTCGGCGAAGCGTGCCAAAAGTTTTCACGCATTTTCAGACAGCCCGAGGGTCTGACAATCACCATCGAGGACAAGGGAAGCGTCAAGGATGTCATCTCCAACTGGCCAGTGCCAGCCGGTGCTCCTCGTATCGCAGTCATCACTGACGGCAGCCGCATCTTGGGTTTGGGAGACTTGGGGTATGGAGGGCTGGGCATTAGCATTGGAAAGTTGTCGCTGTACGTGGCTGCAGGCGGCATTCACCCCCGTGCTACGCTGCCAATTGTCGTGGACGTCGGAACCAACAATCAGGAGCTCCTCGATGATCCGCTTTACCTTGGTTTGCGCCGCAAGCGCGCCTCGGATGACGAGGTGTACGCTCTTATGGATGAAGTGATGGAAGCTCTGCAGACGGCCTACCCAAATCTGATCATTCAGTTCGAGGATTGGGCATCAGAGCGAGCGTTTGGCTTGTTGGAAAGGTTCCAAAACAAGGCGAGGTGCTTCAACGACGATATCCAGGGCACAGGCTGTGTGATCCTGGGGGGCTTTGTAAACGCAGCTCGCCTCGGCTCTCAAGCGTCGGGCAGACCTCTTCACGATCAGCGTATTCTGTTCTTTGGTGCTGGTTCGGCAGGTGTTGGTGTCGCGAAGCAGCTCATGGCCTTCTTCACACGACAAGGTCTCACGGTCGAGGAGGCGCGACGCAAGATCTGGCTCGTGGACTCCAAGGGTCTGATCACAAAGGACCGTGGTGACAAGCTAGCAGATCACAAGGTCTACTTTGCACGAGAAGACAACGAAGGCAAGCAGTACAAGAGTCTAGACGACGTAGTGGACTATGTCAAGCCCACCGCATTGATTGGTCTGTCTACCGTACCGAAGACGTTCACTCCAGAAGTGCTGCAGAAGATGCACAAGCTCAACAAGGCACCCATCATCATGCCTCTGAGCAACCCGTCTTCCCTCAGCGAATGCGATTTTCACACCGCCCTCGAGGCGACCGAAGGTTCTTGCATCTTTGCCTCTGGCTCGCCCTTCCCCGAAGAGGACTACAATGGAAAGCATTACATACCTGGTCAGGGCAACAATCTTTACGTCTTCCCCGCGATCGGACTTGCAGGTGAGTGCGACCGGGCAATGAGATGTCATTGAAGCGATTCCTGACATCTGCTTTGCTCTTCATTCTTCTTCCGGCCCCAGGTGCGCTGTGCAAGGCAGGCAACATCTCCGACGCTGCGATCACGGAGGCCGCCGTCGCCTTGGCAGACAGTCTGAACGACGCAGAGAAGAAGGAAGGCAGAGTGTACCCCAGTCTCAAGCGTATTCGAGAAATCAGCGCCAGCGTGGCGACGCGCGTCATTCAGCAGATGAACAAGGAAGGAGCAGCTCGTGATGGTGGATACACTGGCAGCATGGAGCCAGAGGAGCTGCACGAGTGGGTCAAGGGAGAGATGTGGGTGCCGAGCTACGAGAAGCTCGTCGCGTGATATTTTGATCGAAGCAGCAAAACGAGACTACGGTAAACCAAAGCACATGCATCAGGATGATGCGAGGTTCGTTTTGATTAGTGGCTCTGTAATGAATCCTCGTTCATGATCGTGCGCCGTGTGTGATGTCGATGTGCGATACTTGATGTAGAAGCACACGGACACCGGTATTCAATGCGTCGTCCCAACGCCAGCATCAGACTTGGCGTCTGAGACTTGGTGAAGAAGTTTCACTTCGAGTGTCTAACTTGAAAGGGATCTTGCCGTGATCTGGAAAATCTGGCGCATGCCGGATGCTGCTGAGGCTCGAGCTTGATTCGTCATTGCTGGCTGCTTGGGATCAGGATCGTGAAATCAACAATGTGAATCGTGAATGAAGATCGTCGATCGTGAATGTCGCTTTCAAGATGCGTTCGTTGGGTTGCGCGGGGGCGCGGCGGGACAATGGCTGAACAATCAATCATACACTGGCCATGCAGCGGTGTGTGGTGCGGCTCAATCTACGATTCTCGATTCAAGATTGGTCTCCTGCGGCAGCGTAGATTGTGAATCCGATCACGTATGTATGTATGTATGTATGTATGTATGTATGTATGTATGTGTAGGATGAGCTTTTGCGTGAGTCGAAAGTCTGCTGAGTCTGAGTGCGAGCGCCCGGCGCTTCCGACGCACGACTCACGACGCACGAGTCGTGCGTGGGCGCTTGCATGCGAGTGGCTGCTGATGCGTGATGCCGATGACGCGCGATTTCAGATGAGATGAGATGCGGTGCGGTGCGGTGCAGTGCGGCGTGGTGCGGGGCGTGCTGCTGCTGAGCTAGCTTGATCCATGCATGACGAGCAATTAAGCAAAAGTTGGGCGGGGCCCGCTCATCGCAAACGACTTTGCAACTCAGTGATCACACCTCACGACCGAACTCTTTACATGCTGCTGAATACGACATCGACCGGCCATCCAGATCACAATTCTATATAAAGGCCGCTCTCACGCTCGCAACTCTGACCATCTCTACTGATCACGAACACGGTGCGACCACAGGATAGCCGTGTGCTGGTCACCCTGACATTACGCCTGGCCGACGACCCTGACAGAAAGCAACATGAGCTCGGCGAGCGGCTCGAGGGGAGGGGTTTATGGGTGAGTTTTCTCTCACCTTGGTACTCGCACAGAGCGACGAGGGCTGTAGTACAGCTTGGGTCGATGTTGCTGCGCAATAGAGAGAGCAGGCCTACAATCGAGACTCTAACGGCGACCAAAGGGCCAACTTTCGGGTATCGTCTGGCCAGCACTCACGCATCATGCCACGATCCATATCGCATAGAATGTTTGGGAGCGCTGCGCAAAATATACCCGAGACGAGCGCGAGCGCGAGCGCGAGCAGCTCGACGCACCAGCAAAGCTTTACCGGCGCTGGTGTATTCGGGATGAGCCAGCCGGAGCCGGATCCGGATCCCCAGGACGACAGATTGCTGGATCTCGTCTTTGTGAGCATCAAAGGGGGATTTACTTCTACCGCAAGCATGCGCACCTAGGGGTCCGCTGACGATGCCCGCTGATGCCGCTTGGGACTAGATCATGGATGCGACGGGGTCCATGGGCAGCTACATTGCGTCTGCGACCAAGAACATCGAAACCATCTCAGAAGAGGTGCGTCGAGTAGTCGTGAACCTTGCTTGCACCTTTGCTCCACAGCGGCTGATAGGTTGCGCTACTCGCAGATCATCCGCTCAGAGCACCTGTCCGCTCCTAGCGCTCTAAGAATCGGTTTGATTGCATACAGGGATCATCCGCCTCAAGACCACACCTACATTGTCAAGAATTGTAAGTGGAATCGCGTGCGTGCACGCCAAAGGTTCTCACTTTTCCCCCGCCCCTCACTTTACAGTTGGCTTCACCGAATCGATTGACGTGATCAAGGCAAATTTGGGCACGCTTTATGCGTCCGGTGGTGGGGATGGACCAGAGGCTGTAACGGCCGCCATGAAAGCCGCATTGGACCTTGATTGGAGGCCTGAAGCTACACGGCTAGCCGTCTTGATTGCAGATGCCCCACCCCACGGAATCGGCGAAGTGAGTGACTGCTTGCGAGAGCGGTGATGTACTGCCAGAGCTCGAAGGCGCTAATTTCGATCTCGGCACTGTGCAGTACGGCGACGGCTTCACACAGGGCTCCCCAGACGGCTTTGACCCGCTACAAGTAGCCAGAGCCATGGCAGCATCCGGCATCCCACTCTTCATGGTCGCGTGCGAACCAGCCCTCTCAGGCTATCAGCATGCTGCAGACTTTTATCAGGGCCTCGTGCGCATCACAGGTGGCCAATTGCTGCCTCTCACCACTGCTAGTTTGTTGGCACCTGTCATCATCGGGGCCGCAGGCGAATGCATGTCCTTAGACAGGCTGCATCGAGAAATCGGCGATCAAGTCGCTCAGCGCATCGCACAAATGAGTCTGGACAACCCAGCGGAGAATGACGTTATGGACTCGGTCACGAGGGATCTGTACAACAGTCTAACCTTGCGCCGGGAAGTTACGAAGCAGCTGATCGTCGAGAGCATATACCGGGAAACGCCAGGTGAGCTTGGTCGATGCCGACTCAGGTGATTCTTTTCCGTTCGCTGACTTACGATATCCTCAGAGTCACTGCACAACGTTCAAATTTGGTCGGCGGCGCCTGATCTGGCTTCGGCAAGACCTCACATCCGCAGAGTTACCGGCAGTCGACTCTCTGAGAAATATCTCCGAGAGCGATCCGTCTCATCTGCTTACAAACCCTTCACTCCATACGCACATCCTCGCACGTCTGGTGAATCGGCTGATGGATCGGGCTCTTCGAGCTCAGCAATGGCCGACATTTTCGGGTTCGGATCTAGCTCATCGAGTCGGACAAGCGCTGGTTATGGACGATTCTCTTCCGCAGGAACATCTCCCGAGGGCGGTAGAGGTGGCTTTGGAGCTTCCCCGTCGAGCCCTCCAGGCTCGCGGAAGGTCGTCTCAGACTTTAGCGCTTTCTCAGCCAAGCCAGGAACTACATTTGGAGGTACACCTAGCGGCAGCCCTCAGCTCGACAGAAATGCTTCTGGCGACGCCAACAAGCCGTCGAGCCCGACCAATCCTTGGTCCAACGGTCCGCGAAGCGGTGCGGCCTTCTCCAATCCGAGGAGCCGTTTCCAGTCTGGTGGTGGCATGGATGATGACGATGACGATGACGATGTGGCCGACAAGATTGATGATGGTATGGATGATGACGACGACGGCGACGTTGTTTCGAACGCGCTGAAGCGACGCCCTGGCTTGCCTGTGCAAATCGCTTCGGATGGCGCGCTGCAGGTGGCAGGAGACGATGGCAGCACGCTCGCGCTAAAGCAAGGCGCTATTAGCATCGAACAGGTGAGTAGCATCGAGCGGTGCACACGACGCGCGCAGACGAGTACTCGTGACTCTTCAGCTCACGAGCAGCTGTTTCGCCACTAGGTACGACGGCTGGCCATGTTCAGTGCGCGAAGGAGTGGCTTTTGAAGGCCAAGCTCTCGAGCCTCCGCCTTCACACGCGCTGCCCGAGCTTTTTCGGGAGACGCAGCTCCTCGAGCTCGATCGATACCCTCCTTTAGCCTGCTCCGCTCACCGCTCTGTCTTGCGGCCCAGTCTTCGGTCACGCAGATGTCTCTCACTAACACAATGATGCTCAGTCACGCGCGTTTTGCTTGGCAATCGTAATCGCTCCTTGTTTGCGTGATCATGTGTCACGCCGCACCTCGCTTCTGACCTCTAGCCGCAGGTGAGATGCTGATGTTGCGTGCACATCCAGCGCGCGGTCGAAGCGACCTCAGTAGTCTCGCGTGGGAACATGCGGAGCGAATCGAAAGTGACAAAGCGGCCGCTTTGTGTGTGAGGAACTATGCTATCATTGCGAGAGTTACAGAGCCTGCAGTCAAGGGGCGTGAAGCTTCGAGCTCAGAGATCGACGATGGTGCTCAAAGAACAGTTACCAGAAAGCGCCCCAGCCTACCAGCCCGACGGTGGTGACTCCTGTAAGAGCGAGAACAGTGTAGCCTGACGTGTCCATGGAGCTGTTGGAAAGCAGACCTGAGGTGACAGATGGATCTCAAAGTGAGTGTGTGGTTCATGACGCTGGGCCATCACCCTTCAGCGCGGATGCTCCAAGTCAATGACCATGACACTCACGTCCAGAGTCCCAGATCAAGTGCCTGACGCCGTTGATGGTGTGGTAGACAAACGGAACAGCCAAGATGCTCTTCGTGGTCATCTTGAACCAGAAAGGCAGACCGGCAATGAAGCCCAATGTCGAAGGAACGAGAGACGTGTCCAAGAAACCCAAGTAGGGCAAAGCTAGATAGGCGATCGCGCCGGCGTACTGTTTGTGAAGCGCCAATCAGGTCAGAGAAATTCGACTTGGACGGCAACAATGCAGGCGAGCTCACCAAGCCTGCGGAGAGAGCTGCACCGGTGATACGGTTGGAGATGGACATGTACATGTTGAGCGGGTACTGCATTTAGAAGCGCAAGTGGGAAAGCACCAATCAGCACCTCGATCTGATTGTCCTCATGAGACGTGTCGCACTCACTCGGTAGATGGTCAAGTGAGGGCTGATTGGCCTGATGCTCCTCTGCTTGTTCAAGAGGTTCAAATTCTCATCTTGAGACATTCCGACCTTTGGAGCTGCGGCGGAAGTTGGCTTGGATGAAGGGGCGCTCGTGCGCAGACCTGCCGTCTGGATGGCAGCTGGTCTGAAGGCGGCTACAGACGGCAAAAAGAAGGATGTCAGCCCGTGCAGCATTGGAGGGGATGCGGCACTCCCAGAAGCTTCGAGAGCGTCCCGCACTCGAACAAAGCGGGATGAACTTTACAGCTCAAAAGTCTGATCCAACTCCAAGGCCAGACCGCCATGCCTTTGGTGCCATCCGCGCGCTATACATCCTACGCCCCTCTGCGCCGATTCGTAGGCATGCGACGCGTGATTGTGATGCCGGCATTGTTGTCCATCCATTCAGACCTAGCGCTTCAATGCAGGTATTCACTCGACCGGCATTCTAGACCGCCTGTTCCCCCTTCCCCTCCAAGCACCGTTTGGGAGCGATCATCTGTAAGCGCAGATTCCAACTCACCAAGCTGGAACTGCCTAGCCGCCATGGCGGATCGAGGGTAAATCAAGCTAGACATCGTGATCGTGTGTGTGCCTATTATGATGAGCAGTACTGCCTGGGTCTGTCTCGCCGCTGCTGATTACGCAACACCAGCAAGTTGAGCGTAGAAGTATAACGAAGGAAGTGCTTGAGAGGAAGCGTAAGAGGGTCTGGCAATGATACCAATGATGCAGCTTGCAGCGAGTGATGGGAACGGTGAACCCCGATGAAGTCACGAGTGGTGAATAAGCGACGAATCACTCAAACTCAATCCCAATCCCATGCACCCGCATCAAGCTGCTGCCGCACTCAGACTGCGACTCACGACTTACGACTTGCGCTTTGCTTGACCAACGCGGGGAACCTGATTCGCTCACGCGCGCATGCTTCCCTTCACCCGGGCCCCGGCGGGTTCAATTCGTGTCGCTGACCAGAGACGCGAGCGGAGCATTCGGGCGCGTGTGCTGTTGGGCTCGCCACGTGGCTCACTCACTGCCAGCCGTGCTCGGCACTCGTCGGCCGATGATGACCGCATTCGCGACCTCTACGCACAGGGCAACTCGAGCTCGAAATTGATGCGCGCACTCAAGACTTACAGTCAAGAGTATATAGCTCTTTGCATGAGTTACACTGACGACACCTCAGCTGAGACCTGCCGAAAGCCGCGCGTCGCGTGGAGAAGTGTTTCGAGAATCGCAGTTACCACCGTAGCGCCGCCTCGATTGCCTGTCTGCTTGGCTGCTCACACCACACCATACTGATACATCATACCGCACCCGTCCCCAAGGTTGGCAGTGCACAAGGAAAATCCAAGCGCAGCTTCGTCATTCAACGCAGCCGCGATGCTGGTCCGGGTCCGCACCAGGGACGGCAACCATCGGTTTCCTGTGGAAGGCACAGACGACATCAGCCTCCTCATCGAAAGGCTGCTTCAAGCATCTCCAGACGCAGATCCATCCACCCTCACATTCTCCAATCAGCCTCGAGGCGGAGAGAACAAGGCAGATGATTTAAAGGGAAACAGCTTGAATGACCTGGGCATTGCTCATGGTCACCTCTTGTACGCAGACTTTCAACTCAAGGCTCCAGCCAAATCTGAGTCGCATGGAGACGCTATATACGCGCAGAACGGCGGCGGAGATGGTGCTACCTCCTCGGCCGCAGCTCAGACTTCTATAGCCCTGCCAAGCAACGGAGCGACAAGCACGGTGGTCAAGGCAGGATCCTCGTCTGCGTCCAAAGCGGAGAGAAAGCCATGGCAAGATGCCAAGCAGGACGAGGTGGACATCTACTGGCAGGCCAAGGATGGCAAAATTCCGCGGCCCAAGGACACAAAGTTTTGCAGACACGGCGACAAGGCAATGTGCGATTATTGTATGCCGTTAGAGGTGAGCAAGACAATCACAGTCATGCAGGTGGGGCAGCGTCGCCACTCGAGCACTGACGAAGCTCACGCATACACCCTTGCGCACGCACGCACACAAGCCCTACGATGCGGCCTACCACACCGAGCATCAAATCAAACATCTCTCCTTCAATGCTCATCTGCGCAAAAAGGACATTGCGACAAACAAGCCATCTCAATCGTACATTCCGCCCTTGGAACCAGAAGACTACAGGGTCAAGGTACCATGCCCTTCAGGAACGCACCCTTCGTGGCCATCAGGTATCTGCACAAAGTGTCAACCCTCGGCCATCACGCTGCAGCGGCAGCCGTATAGAATGGTGGATCATGTTGAATTCTCGCACCCTCAGCTCATCGAAAACCTGCTGGCATTCTGGAGGTCGAGTGGCGTTCAGAGATTCGGTTTTCTGCTTGGCAGGTATCAACCTTACGAGAAAGTACCGATGGGTGTCAAAGCTGTCGTCGAAGCGATCTCCGAACCGCCTCAAGAAGGGGAAGTGGACGGACTGACGCTAGGCGTGCCATGGGAAGATCAAGCCAGGGTGGAAAAGTTGGCAAAGGATTGCGGCTTGTCCATCGTGGGAATGATCTACAGCGATCTTTTGCCGGCGGATCCCACACTCACGGATCCCTCCAAAGCCGGCATGGTAGCGTGCAAGAGGCACAAGGACTCGTTCTTCCTCAGCGGCTGCGAAGTGCTCTTTTCTGCTGCGCTGCAAAGCTCCAACCTATCACCCAGCAGGTACAGCAATACCGGGTATTTCAACAGCAAATTCGTAACATGCGTGCTATCGGGCACGGAAGAAGGAGCTATCGATGTGAGCGCCTATCAGGTCTCTGAACAGGCCATGGCTATGGTCCAAAGCGAAATGATCGAAGCTAGCGTCAATCCGAACATAATCAGAGTAAAACAGAGCAAGGGAAGCGTATATGTTCCCGAGGTCTTCTATCGGTATACCAACGAGTACAAGATCGATGTCAAGGAGAGCGCAAAGCCAACTTTTCCGGTCGAGTATCTGCTGGTTAATGTAAGTGCTGCTGAAGATGCGGGCGGTCGAGATGACGAATCGCTCATCTTGACTCTCTGCTGTGATGAAGGTCACACATGGCTTTCCGAACGAGCCCAAGCCCCTGTTCCTCTCGTCCAAATTCCCCATCGAAAACCGTCAAGGTCTGCACGACCAAGATCTGGGTCGTGCATGCTCATCTTTGGCAGCTGTGCTGGGCAACGAAGAGATGCTTCCTCTTGCGGTGATTGGCGAAGGCTTGAAAGGCAAAGAGAGGGACGAAGATTTGAGGAGAAGGGAAAAGCTTGTTGGGGTGCTCAGCGATTGGCATCTGGTCGCATTCCTCGAAACTTGCGGGATCCTCGGGACTGTGAGTTGCAATCATACTTTCGCCAGATCCAACGTCAGCGCGTGGCTGACACTTTTTGACGCAATCGCCCTCCGATCAGGACGACATGTCGGCGCTTTGCAAGGTCGCTACTGTCCACGATGCAACTTCCGCCCTAGATGGTCTACTCCAGCAGACTGGGTGGCAAACGTTGGCAGCTATTGCTAGGGAACATGCTCCTCAGCCCTCTTCTGCAGCAGGTGGTGCGGAGGTGAGAGGCGTCGAAGGAGGAGGCGGCACAATCGGAGGGATGTTCGGCGGCGGCAGCAGCTCCGGAGCAGCTTCCGGGTCCACAAACAGGTCGACAAGACCTGCTGCTGGCGCATCGAGCGCGCCTTCACGCACAACCCCCAACACGAGAGGGACAGGCTCAGCAGCGGATCCTCTGATATACAACGGAGACTCGGAAGAGGAAGACTTCGACTTCAACGAGTATGCGGACGAGGATGTGGGTGACGGGGACCAGGATGAGGATCAAGAGATGCTGTATGATGATGAGGAGGACGAATTTGAGGATGCGAGGAGCGCGGAATCGGGAAGCGCTGGCGTTGCGGCTGAGCATGGAGCTGGAGCGGGGTCTGGAGGCGCGAGGAGAAATCCGACGAGCTGGGGCAATGCTACCACAACGCGACAGGCTGCTGCACCGCAAGCGTCCGAGCCTGAGCCGGCTGGCAAGGCTTGCCCACATTGCACCTTTGTCAACGAGAAGAGCAGCGGAGATTGCGATGTGTGCGGACTGCCTTTGTAGAAAGAATACTGAGCGCTGCACATTCGGTGCCCTTACACCCATCGCTGTCCCCCCGCCCTCCCATCGGACGCTTTTTCGTTGAGCGTGCATGCATGCAAATCCATTCCACGTTGCGCACAGGCTCTCACTTCTACTCGACTCGCGACTCGCGAACTTGTGGACCCCGTCTTGCTTTTCCCTCTTTTGATCGTTGCCTTCCGGCCCCCGCGACATTTCATGCTCGCGGAGGCCTGCTTGCTGCAATAGGGAAAATCACAATCACATCGAGAAAGCTAGACGTCAAAATCTTGAAGTGCATCTCGATCCTTTGCGGTGGCTGAGAAGGTCACGTGGGATCTGATCGCATCGCCCCGCCGCGTGCGTGACGCCTCGATCGGGACGGTATTCGAGATTGCGCATATGTACACTCATCGCGTGACTCAATTCGTGATTGTCATGCGCTGACGCGCGCGTGCGTGATGAATGAAATGATGAAGTAAGCAGGCGGCTGGCTGCTGCGTGCATGGTGTCCTGCACTCCTGCTGCATGCCTCCACTTTTGTGTCAGTCACAGTCGTGGGTTGAGATGGAGAACTTGCTGCGACCTTGCTGCAATCCGAATGGGGAGAGCTGACTGGTTCGTGAATGTGAATGTCATCTGCATCCAAGCTCGAGGCAAGACTTTCACCATCCAGCTCAGAAGGATTTGGATCATTGAGAGAGAGAGATAGAGAGAGATCATCATCGACGCATAGCCGAAGCGTCAAGTCAAAAGTGCTCAAAGAGGATTTGCGCAGGCAGGCAAGTGTCTGAGTCGGGAGTTGAGCAGCTGAGCTCTCAAAAGGACAAAGAGAGAGAGGGGAGCGCTTGTAGGACGTTCAATTATTCTGGACCCATCATTAAGCCCTACTCGGGGAGGATTTGGACCTTGATCCCCTTTGCATGCGCCTTTTTCGTCAAAGTACAAGTGGGAGCTGCTGCTGCTTCAAAAGCTTTGCGAAAGGACTCTGCGCATCCACGTGGATCCTGTGCAGACCAGCCTCACCATCCGCACTAGCACCTCCTCTCACGCCGACTCGTAGCCCTACGCCTCGTCTTCAATCCACAATGGCGCCCAAGAAGCCTTCCTCATCTGGTGGTGGGGCCAGCAAGAAGAGCGGCGACAAGGACGGCGGTGCGAGGGTGATGTATTGGTTCAGGACGGATTTGAGGTTGCACGATTCGCCGGCTTTGCAAGCTGCGTTGGACCTCAAACCTCAAGCTTTCTTTCCCCTCTGGTGGTAAGTCGCGCGTGGCGTCTGGATGACTTTGGTCGTGCCGTGCTTGAGGTCAGATGGCGCGGGCAGCCAAGAGGGAGCTTGGAGCATTGACCGGATGGGTTTGCTGAGATGCGTCGCCGGCCTCTTTGCCTTGCTACACAGCTGGGATCCAAATGTGAGTTGCGTGAACCAGGCTGAATGTATGGGATGGTCACAAGTCTGATCACGTGCTGTGATCTTCAGTACATCTACAAGCATCGGGTAGGCATCAACCGATTCAGGTTCCTGCTCGAATCCATGTCTGCTCTCTCTTCTTCCCTACACTCGCTCAACCCCCTCAGTCAGCTCCTGGTGGTTCGCGGAGATCCCTGCGATTTGTTGCCAGAGCTGTTCAAACGTTGGGGCATCACCCACCTCGCATTTGAGCGCGATCCAAACGACGAGTACGTTCGACAGAGGGACGATCAAGCTCGCAAGGATGCGAAGGCGAACGGGGTAGAGGTATTGGATGGCTATGGCCATCATCTGTACGATATTCGAGAGGTGCTAAAGGCGCACAACAACGAACCTACATTGACGCTCGGCGCGCTCCAAAGTGCCGTTTCCAAATTCGGAGATCCTGCAAAGCCCATCGACGCGCCCAAAAGCATTCCGTCACCATTGTTGAAGGACGATGTCGCTTCTCCACCGCAAGACATTAAGGATCTCTTGCCCAAATTGCTCAAATCGCTAGAGGGACTTCCAGAGTACTCAAAGAAGAAGGGACCAGAGTATGATTTGAATTCGCACGAGCTGGGCGGTCAGAGATCCACGGGAGAAAGTGGCAAAGTGACTTGCTACGACTCACTCGTCGGTCCAGATGCGAGCGAGTCGATCAAGTCGACATTCAGCGTACCTACGCTCGAGTCGTTGGGCATGGATGCCAAGGCTGCTAGAGTGAGCGTGCCCTCGCTGATTCCAGGCGGAGAAGCGGAGGGCTTGAAAAGATTAGAACGCGTGATCAAGGATACAAAGTACATTGCGACCTTTTCCAAGCCCAAGACGTCGCCCTGTCAGGATACGTCCGAAGCTAGCACCACCCTCCTCTCGCCTTACCTCAAATTCGGATGCGTATCGGTCAGAAAATTCTGGTGGGATGCGGTAGAGGCGAGCAAGCAGTATAAAGGGGCGGGCAAGACGAGTCCGCCGGAAAATATTCAGGGACAATTGCTTTTTAGGGAAATGTACTCGGTTGCGGAAGCTGGCGTGGGCGAGACGTACAAGCGCGTGCATGCAAACCCCATCTCTAGATACGTGAGTCAGCCAAGTCTGTTCCGCGGGCAGACGAGGGAGCTTATCATTTTTTTGACAACGCTTTCACCAACCCCGCCCAGATCGATTGGTACTTGCCAACAGTGTACGACTCCAAGGGCAAAGAGATCATCCCTCGACCTGCTGGCGACGCAGCTAGCGAGGCGCGCTATGCCGCGTTTGTCGAGGCGCGCACAGGCTTTCCTTTTATCGATGCAGCGGTCAAGCAGCTCAAAACGACTGGTTGGATCCATCATCTGGCGCGTCACTCTCTCGCCTCCTTTCTGACCCGAGGACAATGCTGGATCTCGTGGGAAAGAGGTGCAGAATTTTTCGACGAACATTTGATCGATTGGGATCCTGCCAGCAATCCTGGCAACTGGATGTGGTTATCATGCAGCGCCTTTTTTCATCAGTACTACAGGGTGTACGGATTGGCCACTTTTCCACAAAAATACGATCCTAGCGGAAGTTTGATCCGAAAGTATTGTCCGGAGCTGAAGGATTTTCCGGACAAGCACATTTATGCTCCTCATACCGCTCCGCTCGAAGTGCAAAGGAAGGCGAAGTGCGAAATAGGCAAGGATTATCCTGCACCTATATTGGATGAGAAGAAGGAAAAGGAGCATTGCATCGCTAGGATGAAGGTGGCTTACGCCAAAGGATGGAGAGGAGATGCCAAAGAGGTGCTGGAGGGCAAAGCGCAGGAGATTTTGAGAAAGGAACATGGCGTACCTGATCCGACGTTGCCGGAGGGGTACAAGGCGCAGGAGAACAAGGACAAGATTCCCAAGTGGGCTCAACGCAAGGAGGAAGATGATGAGGCGCAGAAGAAGCAGGGTGGAAAGAAGCGCAAGGGAGAGAAGGATGAGGAGGAGGATCATAAAGCATCCGACACATCCACCAAAACTTTGTCGAAAAAGGCAAAAAAATGAGGTCCAGCCCCCTCGACCGAGTCGATTGATCAGCTGCGGGACGAATAGCGCTCGTGCGGGATCAGCAACGCCCTGACTTGCTGTCCCCATGGGCGAGCGTCGCGCCAAAGAAATTGCCTGCCGACTGCTGCTGCATTTCAAATGCGGCTGACTCGCATGGCAAGTCTGTCTTACGACTTCAGCTTACGCGAATCATCATCACAATCGGTCGCACGACCCTCGATTTGACTGCGTGTAACGATATGACTTGCGAATGCGATGATGGGCTTTACGTGGATAGTGAAGAGGGGTCGAGATGTATTACAAATGGAGGATCAGGAAAGCTAGTCTCCGACAATGTGTGGAAGTGCCGTGGTGGAGGGTGCTTGTGATGTTGATGAGGTGGGCGCAAAGGCCCGCGCGTGCGTAGATGAGCGCGCGAGTGAGGCTGATTCAAGAGAGATCAAAGCCTGCGCCGCTCTTGATAGCGTAGAGCAGCTTGCTCCTGCACTGTTCGAGCGAGGTGTAATTGGGAAGCTTGAGCAGGTTCATGCACGTGGCAGCAGTGGGCAATCTGCTCGTATCGTCTGAAGATTTCTGAATGCCCAATTTGGGACTGAGCTGAGAAAAGCCTAGGAGGGGTGGAGAGGGGCAAGAAGTGACGAACTGAAGGGCCATCGGGGAGAGAAAAAGAGAGAGAGAGAGAGAGAGAGAGAGAGAGAGAGAGAGAGAGAGAGAGAGAGAGAGAGAGAGAGAGAGAGAGAAAGAGAGAGAGAGAGAGAGAGAGAAAGAGAGAGAGAGAGAGAGACGCCCAGGTCAGTTCGGTCCATCGATCGCCTCTTGCTTCTCTTCCCTTTTTTTCGAGACACGCCCACGCTCCTTTCGCCTCTCCGCACAGCACAGCACAGGCACACTCACCTTGAGGAAAGCGCGCCGCTCATCTGGCGAGAAGCTTTGCAGCGCTTGCCAAAAGAAAGAGATGGCATCGTCCTTTTCGTGATAGGCGTGAAGAATGGTGTTCCTCCTCAAATCCTCCACATCGATCGGTTCTTCCGTTCCGCAAACCAGCACCCTCAGTTCATCCACATCCAATATCCTCAACCACCTCGTATCTATGATGTCGCTCAAGCCTCTAAAGAAAGCGTCGCACTGCCAAGCTATCTGTCCCGTCAATCTGTACCTCGACATTCGGTAGATGTAGCTCAGCCTGTTCTCCTTCGTCACTGGAATATGGCTGCCGCCAGGAACCAGCTCTGTGCTTTTGACCACGCCCAACTCGTCATCCTGGACCGTAAAATTGAGCGCCAGATCCGCCTCTACGTCGCCAGTGTAGTTTTTGAGGTACATGAGCCCCTTGTACAAGTTGGGATCTAGACTGTCCAGACTTGCCAGATCGTCAAAGTATCCCTGCTTGCCCAACCATTTGCTCAGGAAGAATCGTGCAAACTTGATGTCGACCAGGATGCCCTCGTACATGGCTTTGCCCAAAACGCGGCCCAAAAACGCGTACCACTCCAGCTGTTCGGCTTGTCGAGCGTAGGAGTGAGGATTGGGATAGAGCTCCTGCTGTTCAGTGGCGAGCCACAGTCCTCGATCTGTATCGAAAGCTTCCTTGACCAGAGATGTCAAAAACTCCTTGAACAGTCCTCCGCCATCTATGCCAGCTTCCAATTGTCCAAATTCATCTTGAAATTGGATCTCCACATCCCCTTTGATGGCAGGTCCTAAATGGTTCAGCTGCGAAAAGCCATCTTCGGCCACAAAGCCTCGTCTAACTTTGACTTTGTGGTACGCATTGATGCGGTGCACCCTATTGTCCAGACCGATGCGTTTGCGATCCTTGCGAATGAATTGGCGCTGAAGGCGAAACAAATCAGGAATGAGAGAGAGAGAGAGAGAGAGAGAGAGAGAGAGAGAGAGAGAGAGAGAGAGAGAGAGAGAGAGCGTCAGGCTGCTACCCCGCCTCTTCGTTCAAAAGATGACTTTGTACCACTCACGAAAATTTTGACTCTGAGGTCAAAGTGAATGACAAAGGGAATATTGTTCAAGATTCCGAGTCTAGGACTTAGGAATGCCAACTGTCTCGCGGTCAAGTTATTGTTCTTTCCCCTCCGAGCTCTAACGCGTCTCGAGACGCTGCTTTCGACCGTCGCATTCGCCTCCTCTTCGCTAGTCCGGCCATCATCAGTCGTGTCCATCTGCTGGTCCATTGCCGCATCGTCATGAGCAGCAGCAGCAGCAGTGGAAGTATCAGCAGTAGCAGCAGCAGCACCAAGCTCATCTTCTTCCAGCAGTACGGTTTCCAAGAAGCTGTTGAGATCCATCGAGCTGGTCATGAGCCAATGTCCCTCGGGTGCAAATTGTCTGCGCGCGTCCCTGGCATGGATCTGTCTCAGTGCAGCAGTCAAGATGCTTCGCAGCTCCGAGCGCAGCATCCGCAGACCGTAAAGCGGCAAGTCCAGCGACGCTCCGCTACTTCCTGGCGCTCCTTCCAGCCAGTACAGCGCAAAGGTCAGATTGCGCACCAGGGCAGAGAAGGAGATGACGTCGTCCAGAGAGAGCGGATTGCGGGAGGATGTCGGCACGCCCGCACTCGGACCAGCCGAAGTTGCACTGGACATTCTGCCGTGCTGCCCGACGGGATAAAACTCATCGTCGCCCAGTGTTAGCAGAGTCCTCGAGTAAATCTCGACGAGCAGGATGAATGGGTACCAGTCCGTCTCGTATTTGCCGTCCTCCAGCGTAGATAGCGCAGCTCTCGCTCCGTCACCTTTGCTATCTGCCGAGGCAAGCGTCCTGGCCAACGCGCTGCTTCTCACCCACCCCCTCCACAATTCCCGCACCAATCCGCCCGATCCCCCTGGAGAGCCAAACATGGTGGTAGCAAAGACTCTCTCCCTCGCCTCTGTTGGCCAAGCCAATAGCGTCGAGAGCAGGAATCTGGTGAGAGCTGGCCGAGTAGAAGGATTCTTGTTGGATGCTGCCAAGATCGCTTGCAGATGATGAGGAGCCACGATGCCCGTCAGACGTTTGAAAGTGGCATTGTCTGGTCTGGAAGAGATCGAGACCTTTTCTGCAGCGACCTCATCGATGTGCGACTCAATAAAGTGCGCATCTGCAGCTGTTGTGGCTCCGCTCGTCTTATCATCTAGTGCACCTTGGAAGAATGAGCGCGGCAAGGCGTCTTGCAGGGTGGACAATGCATCCAGGTAGAATTTGAGCAGCGATGCTGTGTTGAACTGATGGACGCGAGGAGATAAGAGGGCGACAAGCGTGGCGAGAATGTGAGGTCGCGAAAGAGCTGCGAAAGGCTCGTCTGACAAGTCTTTTTTGCGCTGGATCGCTCTCGCCGACGTTGACCTTTGAGATATCCTAGAGGCTTCCCGGATTGCTCCAAGCGCGATCACCCGTTCCAGTACGTCGGTGCCCGGCAAGTGAGACACGAGCTGCGTCAAAGCCGGCAAGGGCACGCGGGCTGGCAAGTTTGGCACGTTCAAGAAATGCCGAACAAAGGTATCGGTTGCCAGAGCGCGAGCTTGAGATGGTGGATCGATGTCGAGATCCATACTTTGCGCATTCACATCAATGGGCCTCTGAATGGTGCCAGCGCTGGATGCAGCAAAGACGGTAAAGGGAGCAAGGGCAAGACTGACGGCGGGGGGCAATGTGGGCGATGCCTTGCGATCCGCAGGCTAGGATGGGCAAAGGCGAAGTGCGCAGCGTGAGCACGATGGCAATTTCCAAGGAAGTGCAAAGGAGTCGAGATTCGACGAGTCGTCGTGCTTGAATACTCACGAAGAAGAGGAGATGATCTGCCAAAGCTTTGTGCAGATCCGCCTTGACCAACGTGTGCGCCCAGTGCTGAGCAAGCGTCTGGAAGGGACCTGTGAGAGATTTGAGCTGTGCAGCCTTACCTTGAGGCCGTGTGAGATTGTGCAGGATGAGCAAGGCATGCTGGGCTGCTTTGAGTCTGGTGAGAGAGGAAACTGCTGGAGCTTTGTAGGCCAGACAGCTGATCAATGGCTGAACCAACAGACGAAGTTGTGTGGCCCATGACCGCGCTGCCGATGTGTTAGCATCCACAAATGGCGCAAAGAGCACTGTACAGAGTGGGCACAAGTTGGAGAAGTGAGCACATGCACACCGATCGCGGGATATCGAACAAAGCCACGATGCTCTACACACTCACAGTCCTCTTCGATCAGCACATGCGCCCAAGCCTCGATCATGTCGGCAACGCCGCGCTGATTGCCTTTCAATGCCCAGATCAAGCTTCTAGTCATGCTGATCACTTGCACCACTTCCCTCTCCCTCTCTGCGCTCCCAACATCCCTCCAAAACTCATCCGCGCACTTTCTTCCGATCTCTCTTCTGCATGTACACGCTCTCCACCAAGCTTGCAACCTCAAAGCGCTGCTCTCTCTTCGTCTAATCTCCTGTCTCGCTGCTCTATCCGCTCTTGCGGAAGCTGCGATCTGAGCAGAAGAAGTTCCCGAAGCGTTGCTGCCTCCCAAATTGATCCGCCTCTGCGAAAGGGATCCTGTAAAGTTGTAATCCATCGTGGAGGAGGGTTTATGCCGAGTGTGAGTCTTGTCAGGAGTATTGCTCGGCGTCCAAGTGGTGTGGTTGAGAGGGGGCGTTCAAGATGGGTCACGCCGAGCGACCTTCACCTTTCTATCTCCTCTGTATTACGCGACTTTGCTCCAGGCGGTGGCGACGAGTAGTTCGGCTTGCGCGAACGCCATAGATGCCTTTGCACCTGTATCAGCTGCTCACTTGCGACGCGCCACCTGAGTCAGAGAATGCCCAAGTGAGAAAGATGGCGAGTCTGAGTGGATGCTGTGTGCGTCAAAACAAGCCTCCAAGCAATGATCGTGGGCGTTTGTGAGATGAAGATGAGATTCGTCGTCACTCCCTCCAAGCCAGACTCAGACTTTATAGTCTCACAACTTCCTCCCTGCCAACTCACCACTCGCCGCTGTAAAGTACGCACCGCACCGCACGATGCCCAATCCAAGACCATCCATCCCCATAGCATCCATCCATGTGCATGCGATCACGCTTCGTCAGCTCAGCTGCTGCAGCCACGCAAGCGCATCACCTCCACGCCCGCGACGCGACAATCCGCACAATTGCGCACGCATCACATCACATTACAATCGGCAACGCGCTGCTCCAACCTCGACTCTATATAGAGCGCTCACGCGGCGGGCATGCGCGCCATGTGTAGGTAGGTATATACAGCCAAAACGAGTCAAGCGATTCGAGTCGAATCTCCGCGGAGATGCGTCAGCGGCACCACCAGCATGCATGCAGCAGCAAAGCAGAGCGAGCTAAATGATATAAGTCGCGTCAGTCGTGAGTCTTGCGTCGTTACCGTACCCGCGTAAGTCGCTTACGGCCGCAATCGTTCGCCGAGGTTCAGTCAAGTCACGTATCCGCAAGTCGAGCGTTGAGTTGCGACATCCTTCCCATCTGTCCGCGCCCAATCACTTGCGGAAAGACGTTTCCAGAAGTGATCGCTTGACCCTTTTACCTGTTCGATCTTGCACGCGTGCTATCGGTCCACACTCGCCCAGTCAGAGAGCGTCATGTAAAGACGCAATCTCCTTCCGCTTCACTAAAATATATCATCCTCATTTGGAGGGGAGCGCGTCTCGATGGCCAAACACATCGGCATCAAGAGTATACACAAAGAAGGCGAGGAAAACGGCTCGCTCTCCACTTCATCTCGCGCCGTACAATCTCCTTTCCCTCTCCCAAAGTTCCATCTCTCTGCGCCGCAACGCAGCCTCTCTCTCTTCCAGCTCCAGTCTCCTTCGCTCTTCTTGCGTAGCTGTTGCTCCCCCAATCCCATCTACTGCCGCATCTCTTTGCTCCCTCGTACCTCCTTGACGAGCATCATCGCGTCCACGCATACTCGATGACCTGCTCGGATCGAGTGCGCGCAAAGACTGAGGCGTACCTTCTTCTTCTTCTTTCCTCTGCACCGTAGGTCTGTACGAGTCTCCTCTTCTCGGCCAGCGCGAGGGAGGGGCAGGTCCTCGGTCCGAATCTGATTCGCGAGGTGCGTACACGTCCAAGTGCCTCTCTGTTCCGATCTCTGCACGGCGATCATCCTCGCAAGATCCTCTTGGCCGCTCATCAGGTTGCTCTCGGCGCGTGTCGTCAGGTGCATTGCGCGATCGCGCTGGTGACATGGCAGCGTTTATTCCTTTTCCGCCGGCGCTCCGCTCATCAGCTTCTGTACGAACTTGTCTTGTGAGGCCCCACCGCGTGGATCTCGAAGTGCTTGGAGAGTAGCTTCGCAGGGATACTTCTTCTCTAGGCGGCTCGGCCGAGCCATCTACCGATCCACCTGCATTTCTGACGACGGCGTCGGATTGAGACGCTGGAGCGCCCCAAGCGCGGGTGTTGCTCGAAGGTAAAGTGTTGGCTCCAGTCGGACGAGGCGCTCTGGCTCCTCTATCGCTGCGCGTAATCGGTTCTGGAGCAGCAAATGTTCTTCCTTCCCCTTCCAGCTTTCGTTGCGGACTGGAGCGATCTTCGCGCCTTGCGTTGACGGATGGACGTGACGCTTCTTCTAACCGTGAAGGGCGCGCCATTTCTTCTCGGCTTGTGGGACCGCCTCGAACTGGCCAGCGAGCATTGCTTTGAGGCGTATCCACAGCGCGCGACTGTTCTGAGTGCGCGTCGGAACGCGTATGGGCAGAGACGACGGGTGACTCGTCGGGACGACGCAAAATCTGGTCTGCCGCACGGCGGCGTCCATTTGCGTCTGCTTGTGGCTGTCCCCAAGCGCGCATAGGTCTTGCACCGCTCGAAGGACCCTCTCCAGCCGTATAGCGTCCATGTGTATTGCGGTCAGGCAGCTCTTGCACTGAACGTCCATCGAAGTGCTCCTTCCCTCGCGAGCCACCTCGTTCCGTATCGTGGCTTGGAGCGTTGTGACCGCTTTCAGATTCCGTCGCGTACCTCTTGAAGTCGCGCGCGTCCGAATGCTCTCGGCCGTTTGCGGCTGCGTCGCTGCGATCGCGACTCGAAGGGCGCGGCTTTCGCTGCCTGCGATCAGCGGCATCAGGTTGCTCGCGACTAGACGTAGTGCCGGCGAGTCTTCCACGCGGAGGGGATCGAGTGTGATCCTCGCGTCTGCCTTGAGAGCTATCTTCGTCTCGTGAAGTAGTGCGCCGCTCATTACGATCAGCGTGATCAGTGCGTTCCTGGGCAGGTGTCCGAGAGTCGGCTGTGCGCTCTTTGTGATCTGCACGTGCATCACGATCCTCGTGTGCTCTGACTGAGCTACGGCTCCCAAACGATGAAGCTTCCGCGCGGCGCTCGTTGGAAGAGCCTCGTGCATGGACATTGTTAGTAGACGCAGCACGCTGATCACGTTCAGCTCGGGCACGTCCCCATGCCGAAGCAATTGTGCTCTTCTGTTCGACAGGCCCATCGTTGCGACCGCGCTGCAGGGTGACCAGAATCAAGGTCAAGGCGTCAAAGTCTTCATCGAAATAGATCGCTGCTACGCCTGAACGAGGCTGCGGCAACGCACCTGGCTTGGTCTTGATGCTGGACTAGAAAGAGCTGGTGCCGCGCGGTCGCTTGGGTTGGAAAGACGCTCCGTGGTGGGTTGCGAAGACCGCTCGTTTGTTCGCGATTTGACCGCGTGATCGTCGTCATCAGGGCCTTGCTCGCGACGTCGTTCTCGAGGGCGCAAGTAGCGGGAGCAGTGTGATCATGAGGAGCAAGAAGCGCGGACGAGTGTAAGCTGCACTGCACGATAGGTCTAGAGCGTAGTCGGTAGGTGCACGAGCACGCAGATGTCCGTTTGCAAACTGGCTGAGCTCTGCAGTCTGGCATCCGCGCTCAGCTAGGGGCGGCGTATCACAATCAATGACCGCCTTGCGCACTCCCAAAGGCTTTGCGAAAGATCACTGCGGTCTCGACTTTTGAGTACGGACGGCGCGTCGCTTCCCTACCGAGCCGGTAGTCGGGTCGACTCAGAGAGGTCAACCGCCTATGCATGAGTCCACGAGCTAAGCCTTCGGTTGAAGGCTGCGTGATGGGAGCCCAAGTGCAGCTTTTTTTTTTTTTTTTTTTTTTTTTTTTTGCTTCTTGGCTCGAGGCCAAATTCGTCCTCTTCAAATGTCGCTGAGCGGGTCGTGCTCAAGAGCAAGCTAGCATCGCAGCGGGGCGCCCTGTGGAGCAAGGTAGCATTGCAGCGGAGCGCTCTCTGGAGCAGGTTGGCCAAAGCACCCAAGCGGCCTGGTCGAAGGTGGAGGCACGTTGTGTGCGAGAACACGATTCTCGCTACTCGACAAAGGAGCGCAATGGAATGCACCAGGTTGCTCCAAAAAGCGACAACGTGTGCAACCCTAGCGTGATTGGCACAGATTGTGGCTCGCGCAAAGCAAGCGGCTGTCTGCGCTCCGACCAGTCCAGCGTGACCGGCACACTGATTCGAGACCCTCGCGATCCGTAGAGAGGCTCGACGTCAAATGCTCACTGTTAAATGGAAGTTCCGAAGGGACTTCGACCGATCTTTGGGTGGTAGAGGCCGACGATGCACCTCGAATGCTCAGGCCTGCCTCGCTCGCAGAATCGTGTGCTCGCTTGTCGAGCTGCTCGAGACCTCTTTTTCGTTGCTGCTGTTGAAGGCTGTTGGGCGACAGCTGGCGCGAACGAGAGGCGGAGCCCTTGATCGATAATATCTGAGGAGCGTCTCTTGCGTCTCTGCGAGGACGGTCTTCTGGAGATGGCGCCACAGAAGCTGTCACTCTCTTTGACGAGTCTGCGTGCAGCCGACGATCGGCCTCAGAGAGGTCCACAGTGTCTTGTGTCACTTCTTTCTCCGCTCGAAGTGCAGAATTAGTAGCGGGAGCTTGAGGCACATCCCACTGCGATTCACCAGTGATCGAGTTGAAGAAGTACGTATCACCCCCGGTGCGAGAAGCTACCGCTTCCCAGCCTTCTGGTAGACTCTTTTTCGATGCGATCGGTCGTGATGGAGAATCGGCGCCTTGCGCATCCGATTGCTTTGCGAAGCTGACATCCTCTCGTCTACCGGGAGACGCCTTCACTTGCCGCTTACCCACCTCCGCAGATCTTTCCCATGCCGTCGTGCTCCCCAGCGGAGGCTGAGCCTCGTCAATCCTCTTTGCAAGCTGCTCGTCAGCTACAGGTCGGTCCGACATTCTCGACAACAGGCTACCGACTGGAGCGTCGACAGCCTCTTTAAAACGCTCGTCTTCACCCTTCGACTCCGCCGCAGTCGAAGGCTTTGCAGTAGAGCTAGGGCCCGACCCTACATCCACTGCTGAACTGCTGTTAGGGTCGCTGTCCACAAGTCGAGGTTGGGACGAGGAAGTGGTCTCGCCGGTCTTGCTGCTGGGCCTTGAACTGGAAAGGTGGACTGGTGCTTCCTCTTCCGCAGCAGGTGCAGCATCTACGACATCCTCTTCTCCGAAATCCAGCTGATCTTCCTCCGCATACATTAGCCTCGTGAAGCAGGTCAGAGCTGGACACGAGTGGACGAAGGTGAAGGGGAGGCGATCAGAGCGGCTCGATGGCTAGAGACGAGCCGACGTGAAGAGGAATTCGAAGATGAAGACGTCAGAATGAAATTATTTGGAAGCGGAATGCATTCACGATAGGGATCGACAGAGAAGGGATGGTATCAAGCCAGCAGCGACTCGGCTTGCTTGGGGTCTTAAGCCGACGGCGATGTGGCTCGGAGGGCGTGAATTTGTGGGTCTGACTGATTTCTGACGCCGGGCAGCGTGCGAACCGTGCATACTGCTGCCGCCTGGCCGCAGCTGCTGCTCGCGCGCCACCAACGGCACTCAAAAGTCACAACTGTGACTGATGCTGGTGACTGAAGACTTGATTGCTTTCGAATCATGAATGCTGGCTTGTAGTCTGAGATTACAAAGTCTCGCGTCTCTAATTTGAAGATTAGAGAAAATGCATGTGGCTTTATTATTGATGCGCGTTCGTTTGGCGTTGCGCCTGTCGCATGCAGCATCGACAGCATGCAGAAGCAGCAGCTGAGCGCTCAGGCTGGGAGAAAAGCCGTTCAGACCTTCGAATTCCACTCACACTCGAAAGGCTCACCACTTTCCACCTTGAATCGCAAAGACGACCTTCCTTCGCGATTGGCTTGATCGGCGTGTAGTTAGTCATCGACAAGCATCGACTGCGCGAGTGCCACTTCCTGCTCATCACCTGCCGCATCCATTCTCGTGGCGACATTCCTTCACAGCTCGCTAGCACCAAGAGAGCGCAAGCTGCATCCTGACATTATGACGAGCGACACTCTAGCGCCCAGCGCGAGCGCCTCGCCCATCGCCTACGATCTCACACCTACCGTGCTCAAGTATGTCGATAGGCACCTGGCATTCCCCCTTCTCTCCCACATGGCCTCCACGGAGCAGTACAAGCAGGATGATATTGCAAAGGCGCAGTACGAGCTGGCGAAGGGAAGTGAGTGGCCTTGAATGCGTCGTGTTGGAGCTCTCAGGCAGGGCCAACGTCGATCTACCCTGTCACGATGCTGTGCATGGTCCGTCGCGGGGTGATCGAGTAGCAGATTTAGGGGCATGAGCTAGTCTGACTTCAACTTGCCTCGCCATCCGCACGCAGCTTCGATGGTGGACTACGCCTTGATGCTGCACGAGCAGGCTTTCCCAGATCAGCCAGCCCCTGCAGAGCTGGAGCAACAGCGAGCAGCAGCAGAGAAGCAGAACGAGAAGCTAGCGCAAGAATCGGAAAAGGTTCTCAATGTCATCGAAGATCCATCCGTCGCTGCTTCGCTCAAGCAGGACAAGGTGGAGAACCTGAGATTCTTGGAAAAGAATTACGATTTGAACGAGGAGCAGATCAATGCTTTGTACCATTATGGACACTTTCACTTTGCGTGCGGTAATTATGGAGAGGCTAGCTCTTACCTCTACCACTTCCGCGTACTCTCCGTCGACCCGAATCTGACTCTCTCGAGTCATTGGGGCAAGCTCGCATCCGACATTCTCACTGGTTCGTGGGACGATGCTCTGTCGGAGATCAACCTGCTGCGCGAAGCCTTGGATTCTGGCGCTCACTCTGATGGAGGTCAAGAAGGAGCGCTGCGTAGGCGCACATGGCTGTTGCACTGGAGCTTGTTCGTCTTTTTCAACCATCCTGAAGGAAGGGTGGGATTGGTGGAGATGTTCCTCGCTCCCGCATACATCAACACCATGCAGACCTCTGCTTGGTGGCTGTTGCGCTACCTCGTAGCCGCGGTCATCATGACTCGCAGATCCGTGCGCATCTACAGCGTTCAGAGCAATAATGGGCTTTCCAAAGTGTCACCGACAGCAGCGCTGAGGGATGTCACGCGAATGATCAGTCAAGAATCGCACCGACTCCAAGCCGACCCTTTGGTGGACTTTGTCAAGGAGCTCTACACCGACTTTGACTTTGAGGCGGCTCAAGATCAACTATCGCAAGCTCAAAAGGTCGCCAATGACGATTTCTTCCTGCAAGAGCACGCAGACAGTTTCGTCGAAGCTGCTCGCTTCTTGGTGTCGGAAATCTACTGCCGGATTCATCAGCAGGTGGATATTGCGGATCTGTCCACCCGACTCAACATGTCGAAAGAAGAGGGAGAGAAGTGGGTGGTGAATCTGATCAGGGACACTAGAGCGGATGCCAAGATCGACTTCAATCAGGGCATTGTTCATATGAACCAGACCCATCCGCCCATTTATCAATCGGTCATCGAAAAGACGAGAGGATTTAGCTTTAGAACGTCGGCCATGGGTCAAGCCATCGATAGAAAGGCTCATCCCGTTGCGCCTGGAAGCGAAAATGCGACGAGGGGAGGAAGAGGAGGTGGGAGAGGTGGAAGAGGTGCGGGACGCGGTGGCAGAGGAGGAGGAGGAGCGGGCAGGACTGGTCAGAGAGATGGCGAAAGTGCTGCTGCTGAAGGTAACAGCGCTGCACCTGCTGCTGCTTCTGCAAATGGCGACGATGCAGCTTGAGCTGAGAGTGTTTTGTGGTCTTGGTGCTTGTGGTGCCTCTCACCTCTTTCGCCCCTCTCCTCCTCATCATCGATTGGAAAGGCGCAAGGGGCGGCAAAGCCTGACGCTTTCGCTTGCGCGACGTCGCACTCCGTCGCACTCCTTCGCATCCTTTGCATCTCGTGCTGCTTCAGCCACGCACATGTATCTGTTCTGCCCTTGTTCCCAAAAATTGCAACCCGTACATTGGTTCGACGAGGCACCACGCATGGCAACAGATTGATTTGGAATAGGACAGGCGCTGTAGGTAGGTGCGTTGAATTGCGAGGGCAAGGGAAAGAGGCGCGCGTGCCTCGGGTCCAGCTTTGTTCTTTGCACACAGGTTTGCACGGCGATCAAAATGAAATCGTGAATGGGGCGATGGATGATCGTTGGTGGAATCACGTGAATGTCAAGTTCGAGCTAGCTAGCTAGCTAGCGAGGCGCAAATTTTCATGATTGATTGTTCGGGCCGCAAAGGAGAAAGAGGGGGGGGGGGGGGGGGGGGGGGGGGCGCTAAGTTTCAAGCGCGGGGATTGTTGATGCATTATCCCGATTCTTTTTTTTTTTTTAACCTCGAAATGTACTCCTCCATCTGGAAAGATTCTTGATTGCGATGAAGGAACCGTACGAGCAAATCTTGAGCATGGAAACGCAATCCACAATGATTGCACTGGACGGAGTCGTGAGTGGACATTTTGCCCCAGCTGCCGCTTGTTCGGGGCTGCTGGAGAGGAGAACGATGGACATTCAAAATTCTCTCTCAAGGCTAGAATCCAGAATCCAAGGTACGCAGGACAGGAGGGGCGGAAGGTCAGTGCACGTGACACCTAAATTAGCACCACCGGACAAGAAGCAGAAGAGCGGGCAAGAAAAGAAAGAAGGAAAAAAAAAAAAAAAAAAAAAAAAAAAAAAAAAAAAAAAAAAAAAAAAAAAAGAAAAAAAAAAAAAAAAAAAAAAAAAAAAAAAAAAAAAGAGAAAAAAAAAAAGGTCGGGCTCTACTTTTCGTGCATGCAGCAAGCAAGCACGCATGCAAGGCGGCTGGTCGAGCAGCGCGCGATACCCATGCAGCAGCATGCAGCAGCAACTTCCGTGACTCGTGACCCGTGAGTTTAGGTACCTACCGCTGCTGTGACTGCACGGTACAACATTCAAAATTCAGATTATCGATATTATTACTTGTATCTATACTCGTGACGCAAGATTTCAAGACTTGGCGAGTCAGGTATGCCAGCGACGTGGCTTTCTTTATAAAGCGATACAAATCGTGGAGCTTGAGTTGCACATTCATCATCGTCAGGCCAAAGGCAAGGCAAGGCAAGGCAAGCCAGACCAAATATCCAAAAGGCTATATACTGTATCCTGCGAACGTCATCTTTCTATCCGACTTTCATCAAGTGCTATTGGATGAGCATCGGGCATCGAGTCGTCAGAGGGATCATCACACGTGTCACGCTGTACAGCACGCCCAACAAGCTCGCTGATCTAATCTCTCCCAGAAGGCGAGGCGAGGCGAGGGCGAGGGCGAGGGCGAAAATGTCTCAAGATATGGTGGTGAAGGATGGGAATGTGAATGTGCAGATTGGCGCTTCATCATCTGCGAATGCGAATGCGGATGCGGATGCTGCTGGTGCAGCGATCAGACCTCGAACAAGGGGAAAGCGAGGCGGAGCGAAGAACAAGAAACCGGCAGTTGTGGAGGATGTTGTAGCAGCAGCAACAGCACCAGCGCCACATCAAGATACGTCAGGGGTAGCAGGAACATCATCCACCTCTGCTCCCCTGTCGACCGAGGTTGCGCGTGCTGCGCCGGTGGGACAAGCAACGACGGAGAGTGCAGGTGCTGCTGCGAAGAGCGGAAAGCCCAAGGCAGCGGTGACGAGGGATGAGGATGGAAAGCTGATCAGACCTCGTGGAAAGAGGGGAGGAAGCAAGAACAACAACAGAAAAGTGGTCAGCAGCAGCAGCGGGAGCGGCAGCGGTAAAGATTCGAATCGCAGTTCGGCCATCTCTTCCGCTTTCAAGAAATCCATCAAGAGCAAGTCCACTGCCTCCTCTTCCTCTTCTTCTTCCTTGGAACAAACTTCCGCATTACCATCAGCGGGGGCATCAGCTCACAGTCTAGCCATAGCCCAATGGCACGCGTTGGAAAAGGAATTATCCCAACCCAACACCTCGCCTGCACGTAAACAAGAGATTTTGAAGAAGCAAAAGGAGCTAGGAGGATTGAGGGCTTATCAGGACGCTTCGGTGGTTGGTGCCAATCATCTAAAGGCTGGAGAGACGGGTAAATGGTGCGCTGAGATGTTGCAAGAGGTTAGGGGAAAAGAGCCGGTGAGTAGTAGAATGTGCCGAGTAAAGCAGCGGTCCAGAGCGCCTCGTAGAGAGGAGAGAATTTGTGTGCGCGAGAAATCGCAAAGCGCTCCCCTTTTGGTTTTCGATGGGTCTTCAGAGTGTAAAGGTCGCGGCGCATCGTTTTCCATCCGACATTTGCAGGGCTGACGCGCGCGAACGCTTTGCTTGCTGCTCCTTCCCCCCTCTTGTCTGCGTCTCGCCTCGCCTCCATCGCCTCCATCGCCCTTCGCAAAGCTGCATCTCCTAGACGTGGGAGCTATAGCAGGCACAGCGTACCTGAAATATCCCTGGATCAACAGCACATCCATCGATCTCGAACCTCGCTCCGAAGCGGTCATCAGGTCGGATTTCTTCGACTTTGCAAAACCTGATCTGGACAGGCAACAAGCGGAGGATGTGTGGAGCAAAGCGGTAATGGAAGGAGGAGACGAAGGAGGGGAAGAAGGTCGGGCGAAGAGATGGAGAGGAAAGTTCGATGTGGTAGCGCTCAGTCTGGTTGTTAATTATGTTGGCGATCTAGAGCAGAGGGGTGAGTAGCGCGTTGGGAAATTCGATGCGCCCACACCTCTCTCAATCCAGAGGGATTTGTTTTGCCAGCGCTAAAGGTCTTATCGTAATTTCCTTCTTGCTTTGATGTGTTTTCCCTTGGATCTTTCTCGTCTCGGGGTCGGGGGACCAGGTCGGATGCTGCTTCACGCGCACCACTACCTCACTCCCACAGGCTACCTCTACCTGGTCCTTCCCAACGCCTGCGTCTGCAACTCTCGCTACATGACGCACGACCGTCTGACCTGCATACTCGACTCGGCGGGCTATAGAGTGGTGAGGCAGGACGATAGCAAGAGGTTGAGCAGGTGGTTGTGCGCGCGCAAAGATGCTGCTGCTGCTGCAAAGGCGGGCAACAAGAAACATGCGGGATGGGATGGGAAAAAGTGGGGCAAGGAGGAGGTGATGGGTGGGGCTGTTAGGAATGTGAGTTTTGTAGTGTCCGACCCGACGCCCGCCCGCCCCCCACCTCTTTGTGATTTGGCGAACTTGCCAACGAGGGGGGGGAGGGGGAGAGGAAAGGTGTTTGGAAGTGTGAGACACGTCGCAGCGGAGGATGCTGATGAACAAAAAAAAATTCCTTTCTTTTTTTCTATTTCACTTCTTTTTGTTCCTTTTTCGCTCGCTTCGCCCCCCTCCCACCCGCAACAGAATTTCTGCATCAAGCTCGTAGGTCCTTGATCACAATTTGCCCTTGCCTTCACACGCTCTTCTCCCCCCCCCTCCCGCCCAACACCACCACCACCACCACCATCAGCAGCAGCGTAACAATCACCAAGCTAGATCGCAATCTTGTTCAGTCACCCAATACAAATGCCTTTTGTGGGGCGGCGCGTATACTGTATTTCTCCCTTGTGACCCTGGGTGCGCATTGCCATTTCGCAACGACCGAGTCGGCTCTCCACGGACGGACGGGTTGGAGGGGAGGACATGGGGTGGGAGAGGTGGAAAGGAATAGCTGAGCGTCTAGTGTAGGGGAAGCTATGAATGAGGGAGTAAGGGCACGACGTTGCGCCGTATCAGCTAGCGACTTGGGGGATTGGCAGGAATTTTGCCATCTCCTTTTGGGGGGGGGGGGGGGGGGGGGGGGTATGCAGTGCCTTTGTGATTTGGCAACACTTCAACAGAGCGTGGTGGGCGGGGGGCCACTCGAGCGGGGAGGAAGTGTTCGAAGATTTCATTTCTCCTCTCTCTCTCTCTTTGCAAGGCGCTTGCAAGCCACCAAACCCGCCGCGCGGCTCTCCTCAAGTGTTTCTCTCTCGCCCCCCTTTGAAACTTGATAGACTCATTCGCCGCCGCCCCTGCACAAAACGCCGTCCGACTTTACTTCTTGTCATCCTCCTCCTCCTCCTCCGCCGCTGCCTCCTCCTCTTGGCGTCGTCGTCGAAATTTTCCAACCTTCCAAAGCGCTCTTTCCATACCTCCTCTCCTTGACCGATTCCGCTCCTGTTCCGCTCCGTGTCTTGTATGAGAAGAAGGATGACACACGGGAAGGG